TCCATAATTCTCTGCATTAAATTTTAAGTCATGGATGTCCTTGCCTGACATAGCAGGGGGTTATCCTGGCACTAAAGGAGGCCATCTGTTCAGCCTAGAGTGAAATGTATTGGATCTCTTTTAGGGCAGGCTTGTACAATAATGAGACAGGATTGGGGTAGAACTCTTTAAAATTGGAACTGCTCACTGGACCGTGGATCATCTGCCAGTTGCAACAATTAGTGAAAGAACACATTAATGCAGACGAGACTCAAGCCGATGGATGGGACAAAAAGCGCAGCCTGCATCCTCTCCCAGAGAAGGAGAGAAAAGCAGGACCAGACATCACCAAAGTCTTGGGCCTCTTTTGGAGCTCCCATGTTTAATGGTGATCACCTCTGGCTGGAGGACCTCATAGGTCCCTCATCTTACCAGTCCTTACCCAGCCAGCCATCCAGCCCCAGTGTCCCCAGCAACAGCTCAGGAGGCAGCAGCGAGGGCACTGGCAGTTTGTACAGCTGGAGTTCAGGAGCGACCTGTATCCTGCACAGCTCTATCAAGAAGCAAAGCCAGGAAGCTTTTCAGACGCAACTGAGAGAGGAGAGAAGGTGGGAGAGTCTTTCAAGGGGGCCTCATGGTGGATCTCATCCACAGGCGGAGCAGAGAGGAGGCAGCAACCACAACAAGCTCGAGGCATGGACAGACAGCGGTGGGCTGGGTCAGGGGAGGGGCTCCGCATGGACCCATGGCAGCACTAAAAGTGTAAAACTAAAGTGTCTGCTGGAGGAAAAGGTTGAAGCCAAACTGAAGTTTTCGCAGTTTTTGGATGAGGTGACCTCCAACGTGCTTGACCCAAACTGCCTGCAAGCATTTGGGAAACCACTCTCGCCCTCCAGCTTCACCACTACAATCCCAGCTCAGCCTGAAGACAAGACCGAAGAGGAGACACAGTGGAGCCCCGGGCTGCCCTGCTCAATGGCCCGACAGCAGGCCTCTTTACTCGAGCAGAAGACAACCAAAGAAGAGCAGACTCCCCTTGACTCGGCACAGAAAACCTATCTGGAGACAGACATTGACAGTGTGAGGAGGGATGAGAAGCCACAGGACCTGGAGATAAGAGAGACACCGCCACAGCAGGAGATAGACGAGACCCACGTGATCCCACCTCCTCCAGAGTTCAGTCAAGGGTTTGAGATGAAGAGTCCCTTTCCGGAGTTTCATTGTGACTTCCCCAGATACCCCTACAGATCTGCCTCTCTGCCCAGGGGCATCAACATGGTGAGTGATGAAAGTCATCCCAGTCTTTAATCAAAGCCAAGCCTCAGAACATATGTTATGATTGGAGCGGAAATTGTTTTTCACAGAGTTTGAAGTGATATCTGAATAAATTGAGTCTTTGGATGATTTGAGTGAGCTGTTCTTGATTTTTCTAGGGCTTTACCGCCCTATTATTCAGAGTGTAAAGAGGTACAGGAAGAGATGGGCAAATCATTAAGTTACAAGTTCTTTGTCTAATGTACTCTACACTGTGGGGTTTTGTTTTAATAAAGATTTTAACAACAGCATGCAGGAAATAATCCATGCAGCAATAAATCAAAAATTATTAAACAAAGAAAGAAAGAAAGCTTTATTGTCCCAGAAGGCACATCATGTCTAATGTTTCATGTCTCACAAGAAAAAACACAAAACAAAAATGGTAGATATGTAGACATGCCCTTATTCCCACATATATTTGCATACACACGCTCACATACTGTATATATATACTGAAAGGGAAGCAAAAAGCAAAATGGGCGTTATAGATCTAACTTCAACAGCTAGCTAGCTAGCTAGGTGATTATTATCTGTGGGTTACATGAATGACCTTTCTGACATACACATTGTCATTTGATCTGTTGGTAAATATAAAAACAATAATCCTAATAATTTATTTATACAGCACTTTTCAAAACAAAGTTACAAACTGCCTTACGTGGCTGAAACCAGGATTAAAAGCATTCCAGGAGGCAACATAAAGTCAGAGAAATAAAATCACACCCATGTGAGGTAGAATTAAAAGAATAAAAAACCCCACCAAAAAAAAAAGCTGCTATAATCAAACTTAATTGGTTCACTGTCACTGCTCTTGTTAGTGTTGCTTTCAGTCACAGCAGGCAGATGTTTTTAGTAAAAAAAATAGCTCTAAAGACTCCAACTGTACACGTCCTGCTCAGCAGCTGAGAGCAGACAGGCAAAGTTGGAGCGAGCTACATCAGGGGTCTCAAACTCAAATTGGCTTGGGGCCATTGCTGATGAATTCATCTCAAGAAAGGACAATATTCTGAAAATATTTCCATTACTAACATAATAGTTGCAATTTTAATATCATCATTTTACATCATCTTTGTTGTTCACTGCCAAAAATCATTTGTTGCAGATTTAAAGGTCCAGTGTGTAACATTTAGGAGGATCTATTGTCAGAAATGGAATAAAATGTTCATAGGTATATTTTCAATAGTGTGTAATCACCTGTATATGGAACTTGTTGTGTTTTTGCTACATTAGATTAGAGCCATTTTTATCTACAGATGCAGCAGGTCTCCTTCTCTGGAGTCCGCCATGTTTCTACAGCAGCCCAGAACAGACAAACCAAACACTGGCTCTAGACAGGCCTGTTCACGTGGTGAAACAAGTGAGTTGAAATATACAACTACACCGCTAGATGCCACTAAATCCTACACAGTGGACCTTTTAAAGAAAAGTCACAAATAATTTTCAAGGGCCAAAAAGTTTGAAGTAACCTTTAAAAATAAAAAATTTTAACATTGATTCCTTTGTCTTAATGTGAGCTATTCCGCTGAGCCACACAGACGAGCTACCGTTCAAGTTCAGATGGATGACGATGTGTGATGTGAGTGTGCCCAGGAGCGGTGCTTCATGCTGACCAGTGAACAGGTTTTTATGGGTCAGCTCATTAGCATTCTACCCATCAGCAGCTCCTCCACACAATCTCAACTTAACAATGCAGTCATTTACTGACTCAGCCCACTCACCAGCATTTATTGCGTGACATCAATCATTTACTCAGCTTGAGACCTCACCTTGCTAAAATGGCTGTGGATGCAGAGAACCTGTTTAAAGAACTGTTTTTCTTTAGGAATAGCAACCAGTGGTTTCCCCTAGACTTACAGCGGCAGTGTGCATGTCACTGGAAGACAGACCTGAAAGCTCAATTAGCAATTACTGCATCAAAAGTGAGTGTATTTGCAGTCTCAGCATGACACTCATCTCACTGGTAGATGATAATCCATCCGGCTATCCTCCACTTATTTCAAAATGTGTTATTTTAGTTATTAAAAACCATAAAATAGAATTTTTTTTTAGCTCAAACATCACTATGTTTTGCATTCCCTGGACAGTGTGAAGCGTCCCTGAGTGATGAGTTATTGCACTGTCCACGAAGAGCTCTAATTTGCAGTCCGTTAGTGTTCCTCCCCGAAAACCCAAAACATACTTGACAGATCTCCGAAAGCAGCACCGCTGTCATTTAATAATAAAGGAGAAGATCACATTGCCTTAATTTATTGTCTGATTAAAATTCAGCCTTTGCCGTCACCTTAGCAACTGCTTGAAAAGAGGTGGGTGGTGTGGGGGCGGAGAGGCAGGCATGTGAGGCTGTTGGTGTTCATCTCAGTGTAGTGTGCGAGTGTGTGTCGCTACCCAAAGTTTCATCTCCTCACACGAGTCCTTGTACTTGTGCGAGAGCAGTAACGAAAACATTCTTCACAGGCACACGGCCTTCTGCTGCGCACTCACTGAAGATGCACACTCAACTCGTTAAGCATCCCCCCGGCTTAAAAGCACGTTTTTTTTGTGTTGGTTTTCTATCGGTTATGTTTCTCACTGACCCCAGAGATCAAATAATCTCTTCACAACGGTTGCTTCCTTCATTAATGACACAAGTGAACGACTAGACAATCCCCTCCCCTAACACTGACGCTTACTTTCCAGCGTGCACCATATCATGAAGCGTGATAACACAGCAGCATGGATGCCACACTTGATCAGGCCTGCACCCTAAATCTGAATGAAGATGAGAATACTGGGGAATATTCTCAAGATGATGCATAATTCATCGCCTTCAGAAAAAGGGCCAGCAGCAGACGCGTATAAAACGTATTCTCCTGAACAGCCTGGGACTTGAGATGTAAGATTCAACAGATTGAACCACCTGTTCCCCCTCAACCTCCCCCCTTGCTCTATCTCTTTCCGCACACCCCCCCTTCCTCCTCCTCTTTGTCTCTTTCTCTTTCTCTCTCTGTGTCTTTGCTCCCTCTTTCTCCGATTCAGCACCTCGACAAGGATATTGAGTTGCTGCCAGTATCCCTCATGGGGGGGCTTGCCATGTATCTGCAGTCTGGCTGCAATGGAGGTTTCCGCTCTCCCTCCACACTCCCCCTCCCTCTCTCCCCTTCTTTGCCTCTCTTTCTCACTCTCTCCCCCCTCACACTCTTGGTATGATACAATTGTTCTCTTCTCACCTCGAGTAAGCGCAGACGTAGACAGCCAGGTGCAGTCTGATGAGCGTTGCTCACGAGCAGAGATGGAGGGAGAGGAGCGAATGAGGGAGCGGGAGGGGGGAAAGAGAGAGGGGGGAGACGAAACATAAACAAAAACAGAGGGAAACAGAGAGCATGCCTGCTGAATATGTATGTTTCATTTCTGCTTTCCGGTGAGTGTGTGTGCTGCAGCGATGCTCTACTTGGCAGGCCAGTTTGATGGGTCCCCTCCACTAACATGCTGTCATTTCCTTTAGGTGCCTGATGAAGAGATGAACGGCATAGACACCATCAGGTAAGCTTCTCCCTCTCTCTCTCTCTCTCTCTCTCTCTCTCTCTCTCTCTCTCTCTCTCTCTCTCCATCTCTCTCTCTGCACATATCTTTCAGCACTCCATCATCACGCCCCCGCGTTCTCCCTGTCTTCTTCCTTTAAGCTCCTTCCCTCCCACTCTTCCTCTCTGTCTTTCCACTCTTGCATAGTCTCTCTCCCTCACTCCCCCCCTGTCTTCCCTCCTGGCTCAGCTGCTGCTGTTGCTGTTGGAGTGGCGTGGTGGTTGTTGGAGGCGGCGGCAGCGGCAGCGGTGGTGGTGGTGGTGGTGGTGGTGGCGGGGTGGTGTGCGTGCAGTGGGGTTTCTCTGAGCTTTAAGGGAGAGCTGGGTAAGCCAATCCAGATAGCACATAGAAAGGGGGTTTCTCCATTCTCCCGGCGAGGCTCAGGCAGCAGGATTTTATCTCTTGGTCTCCAGGATGAAGCTCTGCGTGAGCGGAAGGTAACGTTTGCATCTTTGATTTGGATTACAAAGCTGGCTTGGTTGTGTGAATATGTGTGAATGTGTGTGTATATGTGCTCATCTGTATGTGATGTGGCTGCACTCACAGTGTCAGTTCGTGCTCTCTGTGTATTGATGCAGTGCTGTTGGGAATGATCTGCTTCTCTGAGAGTTTGTCAAAGATAAAAGGTTTTTTTTTTTTTTGGCTGATGCTTGTACGCAGGGAATCTCTTGTCCAGAAAATTCACTGCAGCATATGTGGCGTTACTGTAAAAGCATTTTCTTAAAGGATCAATCAAGAGGTTTTTTTTTTTTAAATTAGTCTTGATTGTGTTATGGTAGTAAAAATGTCTATTCTTCGACTCTAACAGATCTGCTTCTGCATGATTTCAAGACAGTCACCTGTCGGAATGCACCTATAACACTGATTAATTACTCTGCATGATAACGCTGCTTTACCAGTACGGAAAAAACTAAGCTATAGTAGCTCTAATGAACGATTTCTATGTATTAAAATAAGCCTGACAGTCTCAAATGTTCAAACAAAGCCTTGGTAATAACTGAACCGACGCCTGCATAAACAGATTTTAATGAGCTCATTACAAAATTACAAGTGCTCAGCCACTTTTCTGATTAAAGTTGCATTACACGGGAGTTAAAGCAGCAAAGCAAACATGACGAGATGCGGGAGAGGATCTGCTTTTTTTTTGCAGTTCCTCCCTCATCTCCCTCTCTCTCTCTCTCTCTTTTTTACCTCACTGTCCTACAGTAGGCACCTTGTAATTGATACTATTACTAATGAACCATTATTAATCCAGCACAGATGGAAATAGATTCCTGAGCTTTCCCTTTTGTGTTCGATTACCAATGGTGTTATTACGATTTCAGGCAGATTACAGTTTAAAAGCCGTTTAAGCAGCCGATGAGGGCTAATTAATCTGACGGGGTGTTTCTCCAATATCAGACATCAATTGTCCTCACCTCTGTGTCACAGCTTTAATTGAATTATAGCAGCTCTGCCGAGATAAGTGGGGGTAGTCCTGTGCTTTTTTTTTTCTCCTCCTCGCTCTTTGCTGAATGGGAAACAAGGCCTCTGAAGAAGCTGTGATGAGGTTAAACAGGAAGCTGGATCTACCTGAGAGTCTGACCCAACCTCTAAATCCCCCCCCACACCTCATCTCAGAGACGCCTTCCAGTCTAAATGATGAAATGTCCTGAAATCTCTTCCCCTCTCTCTTTCTCCCTCTCTCTCACACTCTCTCACCTTCTCTTTCGCAATTTCTGTCCCTCCCTTGGCCGGGTTCCTGTGTCGGGGGCCCTGTGGCAGAGATAGAGATGTAAATTTTACATGGAGACACATTGGAGCAGCGAGTTTCAGAGCGTAGGAGCCCTCTTGGTCGGATAAACAGATTTCAAGTTTTTAAAGTGTTAGAAGTGAATATTCAAGCAAATGTCAAACATCTTCTGCTGAAAACCATTTGAAGGGGTTTTTATTTTAGAAATGAGACTGACACCTCTTGAAAAAACAAAAACAAAAAAAACCTAAGTGACAACTGCTCCTCCAGGATGATTGACAGCCCCCAAAATTTAATGCTGCTTTCTGAAAGAGTGATCATGAAATGGCGTCCTTGGGTGGCAAGAAAACCAAAGTTTAACACTGTTTTATGGCTTTCAATGATTCCATTAAACACACTGTCAGTCAGTGTTGTTACTCTAAAAAACGAATTTATTACTAATTAATCATTATTCTAAAATTAAGCACAGTATTAAATGGCACACGGTCAATTTGCCAATAAATAGTTACAAAAGTTCAAAATATTCGCCAGCATCACTGAGAGAAAAGCTTTCGATCACATCACATGATCTTCATCAGCAGATGGAAAATACCCATTAGTCATAGAAATGCAGATGCGCAAGTTTAATATGTTTTATTAAATTTATTAAACCAACATAGATACTTTACTAATAGCATGTGATTCATATTGTTTTTACACCCATTAAATTATTCAGTGACCCCTTTCACATCTGCATTTTTCTTTTTTATGTTTCTCCACAATATCTATTCAGGATTTCATTATTATTCTTATTATGTCTATTTTGTTAAGTCCTGTTTATTTATGCTTTGTCTGTGTTTGTACATTAAGAGCAACTTAATACCGGACTCAAATTCCTCATATGTGTGCACATACCTGGCCAATATAAGTGATTCTGATTTTGATTATGCTCGTTCACTTTATTGCTGAGGGTTAAAAGAGACGATCGCTACCACTCTCATGTCTGTCCTTTTAGTTATGAAGCTACAGCCAGGAGTTGTTTTTATGGATCGAACAAATGAGAAAAACCAGACACATGTTAATTAGTGAGCTTTATGAGTGCTGCTAGGCAGATTTTGTTGTTACCTTTGGAAAGAATTAGGCTGCTTGCACCCCACTGTTTCCAGTCTTTATGCTAAACTAAGCCAACCAGCCGCAAGTGGCAGCTTCAAATTGTAGATATAAGACAGATATGACGGATATATGAGTGGTGTCATCTAACTCTTTGCGAATGAGAGTATTTCCTTTAATTTCAACTTAACTTGACCATTTGATGAAGTATTTTCTTCACTTGTTCAGGTGGGAGTCACTTCCCGTGCAATCTACATAACCAGTGTAAATATGAATATAATTAATGTCAACAAGAGAAATATTAAACTCATTTTATCATCCCAGATGAGTTAGATCTCCAGAATCACTTTTATTACAGATGAAGTGGTGATACAGAAGAGCAGACATTCATGTGTTTGAAAGTGTTGTGGGAGAGAGGCTGGTCTGAAGAGGCTAGAGGTTAGTTTTGATCTGTTTAAGTGGACGGCGTTGGTCTAATGCGCTCCGCGATCCTCTGTGGTCTGAACAGTCAGCCTCTCTCTCCCACTCTGTGTCTAGGTCTCTCTCTCTCTCTGGTGAAGCGCTGACAGCTCCTCTGGGGGTCATTAAGTGCATCTTATCATCTGAACCCCATTATTCCTCTTCTCCTTTGCCCTCTTTAGCCCCAGTGGTCAGACTGTACAGGTCAGATTTATTCCTCAATGACAATGAAGCAGTCGGCCATGCAAATTGCTGAATGGCTTCACTGCATTTAGCAGCTGCCATAGCTAAATGTTTTGGTGATTTGACTTGAGCTGAATGTTTATATAGTAATCTAATTGAATGATGCTAAATGCTCAAGTAGAGATGTAACATTAGTGGAGTCAAAGAGTCGGTGAAGTGACTGTATAATGCTGTATAGCTGTAATTTTGCTAACATTAACTAACATAAGCCACCATACCCTAATGGTAAACCCAGCTAAGGCTGTAGCTGTACATATTTTCAGAAAGTTGTATGAGGAGATTGACACTTTTTAATATCTCTCTGTTAAATGTAAAGCCAAAATACACTTAGCTTAGAATAAAACTTGGAAACGTGAAACAGCTTGCCTGGCTTTGTCTGAAGGTAAGAACATTCGACTAGCAGTATCTCTAGAGCTCAATAATTAACATGTTATATATTTTTTGTTTAATCCACACAAAAACTGTGTAACTTACACAACTTGAAGGACTAGTTCGACATACGCATGTCAAGAGTTATGACCAGATAGATCTCCATAAAAAACACTGCTTATTGTTTTTGTACTTCAGTTTTTGAACCGGTTACACAAACAAGATATAACATTTTAATAAATGATCTTTAGAGGTGCTTGAAGGACAGATTTCATTACCCTTAGACGGAGACAGGCTAGCTGCTTCCAGTCAATGCCAAGCTAAGCCAACAAGCAGCTGGCTGTAGCCTTATATTAACTGCACAGTAACTTTCATAACTCCCTACAAAAAAAAAAAGCGTAAATGTATTTTCTAACAATTGTTTTGAACACATTTAAAATGTAAAATGACTGTGACCTTCCTAATTAGAGGTATCAAACTGTGAGGGAGGTTTAAAGGAAATTAAACACATAAATTCCTGTTTGCTTTCCGATTTCTGTTGCTTGTTTGCCTGTCATGATCCGGGAGGTCACACTATACTTTTTTTTATATGCCACTGGATTAATGGCACTATGTTGGAAAGCTGTTAGTGCTATATTGCTTCCTATATTTTCTCAGTATAGTCTCTTTTTTCGTAAAAGCGCCATTCATGCGTCCCTGAGTGGAGGCTTTTTAGGCTATCTCTTGAGAGTTATAGATGGACCAGTAAGTACATCTGAGCCGCCTGCTATATGTGTATAACAGCGTGAGGCAAATGCTTATACACACACACACACACACACACACACACGTACATGGGAACACAGAGCAGTACACTGTATCCTAGCAGATTTGCAGAGGTGGTTCCTTTGTTGTGTCTAATCACTACCTGTCCATTCGAGCTGCACTCGTAAACAATATGTTGTGATGGTGGGTGGTGTTCTGTGTGTGTGTGTGTGTGTGTGTGTGTGTGTTTTTTTTGTGCACATGTCTGTGTGTGTCCACGTATGTGTGTTTGTGTCTGTTCTATTTTTAATGAGCTGAACCCCTTTGAAAGCTGCTTGTGCTTCTCCGTCCCATCTCCTGTTTGGTTGTGGCTGAAACGTTGGCCTTATTTTAATGTAAAAAAAAAAGATAATTATTGAGCCAAATGCCACGATAATTAGTAACCTATTTTAGGAAACCAAAAAAGAAGGATACTCAATCAAAGAGTGTGGACAGAATTGGGATTTTCTTACTCTCAACTTTATTGAAACATTTAAATGCTAAAGCAATTCAGAATCACTGATTTTGAACGCCCAGTAAATCACCAGGAAACTTTTGAATTACAAATTGAGTGAGAGTTTTCCAAGTTTCATTGTAAGTGTGTGGATTCTGGGTCGGAAGAAGACGAGGTCTCGGTGGTTTTGCTAGGACAGCTCTCAGAAGGATTCACTGGCACCGTAACATGATTTTCTTGTCTGGAGGCTGATGCTGTTTTTTGTAGGACAGAATGTGCTTGTGTTCGTGTGTTTAACGCGCTTAGTGTGTGGTTGTACATGTGTGTTTATGTCGGTGCTCCCATGGCTTTTGGGTAATCTTGCCTTGACTCCAAACTTGTATTTATCTCAACCTACATAATTTATCAGTAACACAGTGAGATTTTATTACCTTTGGACACAGACAGGCTTGCTGTTTCCACTCTCTGTGCTAAGCTGAGCTGACCAGGTGCTGCATGTAGCTTCATATTTACTGTGCAGACATGAGAGTGGTATTGATCTTCTTTTTTTAACTCTCTGCAAATAAGCGTAATTAGATGTTGAACTCATTCATGTATACTAAAACTGCCCATCTCTGATCTTATTTCATCTTCTCACTGACTAGATGTCCCTTATCTGTAAAACACTCCCTGGTTTTCAATATTCACTACAAAATTGTCCTGGTTTTCACCACAATTAAAATAATGCCTATTAAATTATGGGCAAGCATCAGCTTATGTCGCTTTTGGCTCTTTCTGACAGGACCTGTCAGTATGCTAAGTGTCAGAAAGTCAGCTTTTTCTAAAGAGCTCCTGGAGACTTTCTCCTTCGTAAGGTAGCCAGCAATAAAAATGCTGCATTTATGCCATCCATGATACTCGACTTGTCGATTGTCCCCGCCATCCCGATGAAATGGTGCGCGCATAAGCTTGTGCATGAACACTTAAGGGTCCCAATTTGGGGGTTTTAAACCGCTACGCCAGTACCTGAAGCAAAACCCCTTTAGATTTTTCCCAATTGTATGTCTAAATGTCTGCTTACAGTTTGTTCTGATGTTGGACTCAATTTGTTCTTTGTGTTTGATGTTTTTGGGGTTTCAATACAACAGAACTGTGTATATTTTGATTATGTTTTTGGTTCGTATTTGGAGCTCAGCTAGCCTCCATCCAACCTCTTCCGCTCATCCTAAAAATCCTCTCGGGATGGTTTTCGTGATTACAAACTCCCCTGTGCCGAGTGCCATCAGCAGCACATGAAATCCGTTCAGCGGGTCATTATCCCCTGCTGCTGCTAATGATGTTGGTAGTTGGTGTGTAACTACTTAGGTGTCTGCTCCCGAGTTAATCAATGCTGGACAGAGGAACAGCAGAGACATAAACCCACATACACTCACAGAATAGTACCCTAATTTGAGAGTTGAGGTGGTTGAGTCATACTTCACGTGTCACTGGGCTGAGTGACTGCTGCAGGTTAGCTACCTTGTTAATCTGAAGGCATACAGGGCAGAAAGAGCGTCTTCTTCGTCTTCTTTCTCTGCTGCTGCTGGATGAGTCAGCCACTTGGGTCCCCCCCACTCTAATGCTGAGGTCTGGGCTTGTGATAAGGGCTTTTCCTGAGAGCCAAATTATCTGCAAGGTAGATGCGATCAGGAAGGCAGAAAGGGAGAAACAGAAAAGGCGGGGAAGAGGAGAGGAAGAAGAAAGAGAAATTATGATTTTCATTGACTTCACACCCACTCTCTTTGCTTTTCCTCTCCAATTTGGTGATGGCTTCTCCATGTTTCCTGTCTTTGGCTAAATTGCCACTACTCTGGCTAGCATTCCCCTCAAACGCTTCCTGCTTTTCCCTCTTCACCCAGTCCCCAACTTTAATGTCCTCCTCCTCCTCTACCACCTCCCCTTCCTCTTCTTTTCAATGCTCTGAGTTCCTCTCAAATGTCAGCATGGCATGAGTGGGTGGCAGGCAGCGGCATCTGAACGAGCCCCGTCTATGGTTTTGCTGCAGTGTGAGGATCGGCTAAAGGAAGAAAAAGCAAGCGAGTGAATGAGCGAAGGAGTGAGAGTTGTTGTGCGTTGGCGGTTCGACAGCGGACACCTAACGTGGCCAGAAATGTGTCGCTAACAGCTGTCCTTTTTGACTTTTATGTTTGAGACTGTTGGTTTATTTCATTCCTGGGAGAAGGGGATTGAATGGGCAGAGCTCATGCCGCAGCACACAAACACACACTTACACAAAAACACATGGTGACGCACAGGTATAAGAGCATACACGCACATGTATAAACTCATAAATTGCTATATATACACTAACTAACAGCGTCATATGTGCACAAAGACACGCTCAAACCCACCAAATCTTACACACACACACATACACACACACACACACACACACACACACACACACACACATCCAGAGCCGGTCTGCTATGACTCAGAGGGGAGCAGCTGGAGTGAAGGCTCCAGTGGCGGTGGTGAGCTGTCACCATCTGGAGGAGTACATGTCTCCCTGCCTCCTCAGCCAGCAGCATAAATCACCTCCCAACAACTGGGTGTCAGAGGATCAACATGTTTCTCAATGTCAATGTGTGTGTGTGTGTGTGTGTGTGTGCGTGTGTGTGCGTGTGTACGGTATCTACGGATACAACATCCCCAAACGTGATGCTTTTCTCGGCTATAACTTACTGCAGTCACATGCATTGTCGGTCACTGTTTCCTGTCCGAGTGGACGGTCCAGGACTCGGATCAGAGGAGCTTTGATCAAGCTTTGACGGGCCGTCTCATCTAATAACCCGCACCATTTGTCTGTGGGTTGACAGCTGCACCTGTGCTGTGGAAGCCATCGAGACACAGGGGGTTGAGGGGACGGTTTTTGGTATTTGGAAAAGAAGCTTCGGTGTATTGGCCTTGTCAGACTCTTTTCATTCGGACCTGGGTGGATGTGTCAGTTCACGTCCTTTGTGTTTGGACATATAGGAGATGAAGACGTTGTGTTTGCAGGAAGGGTTAGAGGGATGTTTGTTTTCACTGATAAGTCTGATGTCTGCTTGTCACAAAGGCCTTTCATCAACCACCATGATGCAGGTTGGTGACCAGCGAGAACACGAATGCAGGCATAAAAGCTACAAAGACATTTTATTTTCTTTCAAGGGGCCTGAAAACACATTTTCTCATTCAGCTTCCTACTATGAGCGACGGGATTCTACATTGAAGTCAAAAAAGTTTGCTAAATTTAGACCACTTTGTCATTTTACATAAGAGATTTCTTTTTTTTCTTTGTGCTCTTTTCACTGGTTTAAAGATGTATTTCTGTGTACTAATCAGATATGTGACAACAGTTATGGTGTTGTTTGTTTATGTTGCCAGACCACTGTCAAAATCTGATCAAACCACACCCACACAATCTTAAAAAAGAGTGTTTTAGTTTTAAACTCTTAATAAATAGTTTTATTTATTTATTTTTCCTTGTTTATTTTTACGTCCCAGTTTCCAAATACATGCAGTGGGAATTCCAGATTAAAGGAAACTGTGCAAATAAGTTTTATTGAACCAAGATAAATTCCACAAAGGTGCAAGCTGTGGAATATATCCTGCCTCTCCCTTTATAGATTTGTCCTTATGTGATTGTTGAACTTTGCTGCAAAACAGAAAGAAGCCCTTGCTCTTTACGTCTGAAGCGCTGAGACCAAAACTTGACATTTACCGCTGATGTCTTAGATACGTTCATTTTGACTTCCACTGTGTCTTTGCAGGAAACAACACAGTGTGACATTGTGAGGAAAATGTACACCGAAAAAAACAAAAAACATTAGCCTCGAAGCTACATCACCGTGGGGGGATTTTAACCTTTTTAAGAGCTGCTAACCTTTAAAATGGTCTGTTACTCTGAATTTAGTGCAGAGTTAAATGCTGTTTCAGCTTTTTCTTTTTCCTGCCAAGTACAAAACCGTGGGGGGATTTTGCCATTAAAATGACTATCATTTCAAAATATATATTGACTTTGGTCTTCAAACAGGATCCGTGGTTGAACTGTAGTTACTAATAGTTGCCAACCTGTGTGTTTGCTTTGTTTGGCAGGGTCAACACAGGTAGAGCACTGAGTAACTCGGCAGACCAGACTTAGCTGGTCTCCTTTGGAAAACTAACACACATGACGGCTCCCTGTGGTCAACCCCTATAAACACATGAGAGGGAAGGAACACAGACAAACCATGAAAAAGATATACATTGGCAAAACCGCCTTAAAAGTCCCCCGAAATGGCGGCAAACATCCGAAAAAGAGGTAAGAGCGATATTCTCAGACACCATCTTTCCATCCGTCCTCCGTTTTTTTATCTGTTTGTCCGTTCATCCGCCCACGAGGTGTCTCCTCTCACCGCCCAGTGGTGCTAAAGCAGCCTCATCCCGCCTCTCCGAGCCCAGAAGTCATGCTGCCTCGTCATCTCATCTCACCGGAATGAAAGCACTCATTATGTCTGACTCAGCTCCTGCTCACAGAGGAGGTCACTAATGGGGGATTTTTCATCCCTGGAGCTACTTCACGTGAACTCAGCCTATATCAACCAACAAACACCTGTATTCCCCTGCGAATGCCTGCCAATCAGGGAGAAGCAGGAGGTGGGGGCTGCTGGGTAACGGGGCACTGAAATGCCAACCAGTCAGTTGAGACTTTCATTGAATCACTCTGTAGGCAGGTACTGTTTTACTCACTGACTTTGTTGTAGATTGTGGCAATCACCTGAAAAATAGACAATATTCCAGACCTAGTGTGAAATAAATATTCCTAATAGGATTTGTACCAAGAAAAGTACATCATTATATAGCAATTAGCCTATCATAGTACTGTATTTGTATTTATTTGTACAAACAATTCTTGGTGCAGAGCTGTGTCAGAGGCAGACATAGTAAATTGATGCCAAAAACCATGGTACACCTTGCTACTCCTACCAACAGTCAACTATAGTTTATTATAACCATTTTACTAACTATACCTTAACCTTATCCATAAATTGTCAGATCACAGAACACTCATGTGAGAAGTTTTTTGGAGCACAATCAACAACAAAAAAGGCTTAAATTTGCTGCATCTTATTTTTTTGTACACCTAAAGGTGCCCAGCCCACATGAGATCACGTGCCATTATCTACACATTACATTAGAGAAAACAAAAAGGAAACCAAGTCAATACATGGTCCTGTATACATTTGTGTCACACCCATTACATACCACTGGGTTTTGTGTGTTTGGCATTGATTGTGAATCAACTGTCTGTGATTAATAATCCAGCTTAAGTGGTTCATAAGACAAAAAAACAACAACTAGAATTTAAACTAAAATTACAGACTGGTTATATTTAGTCTTACTTGTCATTCTGGACTGACCCAGTCTTCTTTTCATCCCACTGATTGCAGAAACATTATCATGCATATTAATGAGCTGGAAACTGGATGATACCTGAAAGCACTGAAGGGAACCAGTCCCCTGATTTATGTTTTCCGTCCTTCTCAGCCCCCACCCTCTGCATCTATGATCTTGTTAAAAGAGAGAAAAAGAGACAAAGAGAGGAAGGGAAAAGAGCAACGTGACCACATCTCCATCCACTCATCTGTTATCCGGCTGCAGATAGAGTCATTACCCTCCTTCCTCCATCTGTCCGTCAATACAGGGTCCATTAAGCCCAGCCGTGCACACTCAGATCCATCATGGCAACAGGCATTTCCTCTTTTCCCACTCACACTTGCCCTTTTATTAGATTAAAGCCCAGGTAATGCACATACTCTGAAAATAGTCATCATTGTGCTGTCTCTGTGAATTACATGTGGGGGGTATCGCTGTTCCGTAAATCTGAGCCTTCACAGTCTATTCATGTGATGTATTAGAGTTCATTGGCTCATATTTCATCACAGATTACACCCTCTCCTTTTTTCGGTGGGACCAATCTCACTGGTGATTGGGTTTTCTGTGATGTGCTGCAGAGCTTTAATGCTGAAAAAGAGATCTAATGCTCCAAGATCTAATGAAGTAAAAATCTCAGTATCCCTGCTTACCCCTGCTTGGATTCTTAATTAGAGATCTGTGTTTTGGTCCCATGTTTTCTTCATACAAAGCACTTTCTCACACAACTTTTCCGCTTTTATCACCCTCTCATGATGTCTCTCATCACTGTTGCATGGCCGTTCAGGGGTGCATTAAAAAGATATGTAGACCCTTTTAAGTCCATTTAGATACGCGTATACCCAAGTTACAAGCTCGTTTGCTCCACCATATGCCCTGAACACAATCATCTGCTGTGTGTGTGTGTGTGTGTGTGTGCAGCTCATTGCTGGAGCAGAAGGAGGACTTACGGAAGAGGCTTTCCTACACGACACACAAGCTGGAGCTGCTGCAGAGTGAGTTTGACTCCACAAGGCAGTACCTGGAGACGGAGCTGCGCCGTGCACAGGAGGAACTGGACAAGTTTACTGATAAACTGCGCAGGTAGGCTGACAACCTGTACAACACAGTGGTGGAACAAGTTCTCAGATCCTTTAATCAAGTAAAAGCACCAATACTACAATTCATAACACAAAAAGTCCTGAATTTTAAAGTAGTGGCATTATAAAAGAGATTTAATAACATTGTCTGACTCATAATGGACAAAAAAAGTATCAAAAAATCTATGCAGCAGAACTGGAGATGTCTTTTTTCTTACGCACATTCTTCTTCTTTGTCAAAACCTGGTGCCTACATTACCCACAATGCAACAGCTGAAGTGGATATTCAGGTGTGTTATGCTAGAAGCAGCTAATGTAGCCTCAAGCCACAACAGAGTTTTGGTAAAGCTCACTTTCACACCTCCAGATTTCTTTCATTTTCAAACTTGTTGTCTTTAGTCGCAAGCGACACTGACTCAAATGACATCACTTGAGGCAGTTTATCAGATTTCACGCGGCTCCATCTGGAACCACAGGAGGGTTTTATAAAACTTACTTCACTTTTGCAGTCATATTCCCCAGGACCTGTAAACAGACTCTTATATATACTAAAAACAATATATTAATTTTATTCCCTCTGTGAATGTTATATTATTAGTTATTATTATTCTGAGTGTATGTATGTGTAAGGAATGTTTTACTGTTGTAGCTAGTCAGACTAGTTTCAAAACAATGGTTTAATTTAGACAGTGGTTCTCAACCTGAGGATCAGGCCACTGGTGTATTTTATGAGCATATCATATAATTTTTTGCGAAAAATCTAATCGTTACTATTGATTTCACCTGCCAAATAAAGGTAGCAGAGTAAGAATAATGTCCCTCTGAAATGTAGAAGAGCAGACATATAAAGGAGAATAAAATGGAAATACTCACATAAAGTGAATACCTCAAATTTGTATAGTACTTGAGTACATATATTTACTTTCCACTACCTAGGATATATTATATATATATCTATATTATAGATATATATATACAAAAGAGAAGTCAGGGACAAAGAAAAAGTTTGAGGATCTGGGTTGTGAGAAGATTTTGGACAAAATTCCTTGTTTTTCATTAAGATTTAAGTCGCTAAGAGAAACAAGAATACAGCAGGGAAACATGGACATCTAACAAAGATAGTTCAGTCACACATGTGCAAACAGTTTGAAGTTTAAATTGATCCAGTGGGATGAGATCTTCAAGTTATAAATTCTTTGTTTTTCTCTCCATTTATATGGCACAAAGTGCTGCACTTTCACAATGCAGCGTTTACCCATGGGTACCTAAAGTTAGCCAGTTTTGCGTTCAGGTCCAGTGAACAGCAGCTTTAAAATTGAGGAGAGATGTAGTAAACTGTGGAGGTTTCAGGAGAAGAGACCCTTATAGCCTAAATAAGAAAGGACAGTACGTCCTTCTAATGAGGACCAGCTGACCTTTTCTCACAGATCTGATGAAATGCAAGGCGCAATGATAAACTGCATCAAGTCGTGTATTGAGAGTGTATTGAGTTGTGTGTCAGTACAGGACATCTCAACACAGACAGGATCTAAAGAGAAACTAAGAGTCTCTATTTGCCTTATACTTAATACCTTTTTTTAAACTTACCTGTCGATGATAAAGAAATACAAAAACTTATATAATAAAATATTTCCAAAGTAACTGCTTAAGAACCAAAGAGATAAGATAAGATAAGATAAGATATTTTAATACAAAGTAATTCAAAAATTCAAAGATAAATAAATAGAAGCATATAAAAAAGAAATTAACCTTAAAATGACAAAGCTACTAATAGTGCAGTACTGTGACAGTGACATAGTGTGTTAAGAAGCTGCAATGTATAGTATATAGTGTAAGAATATAATACCATCTACTATAACAGCGTAAATATGACATATTACATACATGTAATAAAGCAGTATAACATGTTAACACAATATAATATACAGGATACAATGATAGTATAATATAGCATGCATGACATAAAGTATAAAGTATAAAGTATAAGTTGTACTGGTTCACAGTATCCAACATTTCATAAGAAAAAGGGAAGATGTAGATGAAAGTGAGAAAAATTAAACTTTATCTTGGGACGCCCACGTTGGGATCCACTGGCACAGAGAGTGAGTGATTTCTATCTGGAACTGTTGTTTTATCCAGTATATGTCTCTGCCATCTGGATCACAAATTACAGAATAAAACATTCACTAAATCATCATATCAGTAGAGTGAGACTTACAAGTGCTATAAACTGAAACCTGAGGCGTGCGATTCAGCTCTGACTTGTATACTGCTGAGCCTGCCGATATGCTTATTTCTAGTTTGGAGAGGTCTCTGGCTGCTACTACAAACTGCATCTGTGCGTACAAACTATTATCTGCAAGTGAGCAATGTCGTTTATTGTGTCGTTTAGAATACAAAGCAGCTACTCAGCACTGCAGAGGATCAACCAAGATCTGGAGGAGAAGATCCACAGAGATGTAAGTGTTTAAGCCTCTGTGTGTGTGTGAGTGTGTGTGTGTGTGTGTGCTTGTATAAATTCCAATGCTTGCGGTTAAGTACCTGTACACACAGAAGAAAGAAAAAGCACATAAGCAAGTCATGGGGTTTAGACATGGTACAGAACACTTGGAGAGCCAATTTGAATATGAATATGCCCTGCTGTTGGTACCACTGACGTTAATTATGGCTTATTACAATTGGCTGTCCTCCTTCCAATGGCAGAGTGATAGCAAACCCATTGTTCCTCAGTGCACCGCACCTCACTTCATTTGTCAGACACTGCTTTTGCCGGTGGAAAGATACAATTAACTAGCCTCCCTGAGAACACTGTATGACAATCAGGTGTCTCTGCTGTTGAATAGACAACTGAAAACGCTCAGCGAATGGGTTTGTTACAGCCAAAGATAATAATCATCACGGCCCGCCGTCCTTGTCGTGATTACAATGCTACAGCAGTGAGACACTAGGTTAATAAGGAGCTGAAGGTCACTCGGCTTTAGTGGGAAGAGAAATTGTCATTTTTTAAAATAAAGACCAACAGTTTTCTTCTTTTTTTTTCTTGTGAAGTGTCCTCATCAGCTGTTATTGATTCATCTCACGTATTTCCCTCCTCAAGGGTGAGAGAGGTGCTGAGTAAGTCTCTATGTAATCGTAGAGCTTGTTTACTCCAGAGGTGCCACAAACCCATCTGACCCCGTGGCCCTGCACCAACTATAGAGGATGTAATTACAAGACAGATAAACACAGTGATATACTTTGAGCTTCTACTTGCACTGCTACACTGCGCAAAGGAGGAAAAGTCTGAAGAGAAAAGACAAAACTTTTGCACACTTAAACTAACACAAGGCCACATTTTGTTATTGCAGCTGTCAAATAATAAAACCTCAAAAAAAGATTTTATGGCAGCAAAATGTCGCACAAAAAAGGCGAAATTCTCTTTCAAACATGTGCTTCATGAAGATGAAACTCTGTCTTCATCAAAACAAAAAAAGCAAATGTACTTCTGTGGAGTGCTTAGTTCACTGACGTCATGGTTTCTTTGTTACCCATAGTAACCAACAAAAAAAAAAAAGAGCTACAGCATCTCTTGCTGCCACTTAAACACCATCAATGTGTGAAGTTGCTTAATGTATCTTTAGTGTATCTACTTATCTATTTATATTTAGAGCCAGAATCTCATACGCAGTCTTCTGCAGACAATACATCCTGTTTATGTTGTACATATGTCAGGAAACCAGTTTTCATAGAATAAAGCTGCTCTTTAAAAAGCCTAAAATCAATGAGAATTTGGTTATTTAGTTTATATTTAAACTATATTTTAACTTTATTATTTAATATAAATTATTAAAGCATATAGACAAGTCATGGCAAATGTGCTCAGTGCTGTGAAGTACTCTAATTTAATTTGAATGTGTTTATAAATGTAGTCGAGCTTTCCATGCTGGTCATTTCCCAAACTGCTTTTTCTTGTCGTCAGTCTCAGCACCATGACGATGAGAAGCGAGCGCTGAGCCGAGAGATCATCGTTCTCAACAACCACCTGATGGAGGCGAAACTCACCATCGAGAAGCTGCGAGAAGATAATGTAAGAGCCTCTTTATATTTCCATCTCTAGAGAATAATACACATAAATCAGCTCCACTTTCTTTACTGTCTGCTCAATTTGTCACTACAGTTAGCAACATTTTTCTGGTTTTCTTATCGCGGCCTACCTGTCTGTTCTAACACTAGATAATAGAGGGAATAACAGGAATACTATCATTAACATAGAAAGTTCTTTGGTCATGCTTCACTAAGGTTGTCACAGCAAAACTCATCAAACACCAGCATTCAGAGACACTTTTGCTCTTATTAACCTTCATAATGCTGCACAAAAGTGACATTTGCAGGGACCTGATCAGTGGAGATGATGAAAATACTCACCAACATGAATATTCATCCCCAAATGTTTTGTCTTCCAATTGTGGTCATGTTGTGGCACCATAGGACCTGTACAGGAAGGACTGCAACCTGGCTGCTCAGCTTCTCCAGTGCAACAAATCTCTTTACAGGGCCCAGCTCTCTGAGGTGAGCCCTACACTCGCTTCTACATGTCACTCACTCTTGTAATCAAGCTCAAATCTTTTGTTGTTGTTGTTGTTGAATTTAGTGCCGTTCTTTCTTTTTTTTTAAACGTTTCAAATGTTTTCACCAGTTTCATCAATTTTATTAAGATTTCAATCAAATCTACGGTGGCCCTGACAGCTAAGCGCACTGCAATTTAAGAAAAAAAAAAAACATAAAAGCAGACAAAACACAAGCAATTAAGGAAAGATCTTCATCAATTTGCCAATAGGAATAAAATACAAATACATTTTCATTTCTGTGGCACAAACGACAACAGAAACTGTTTGCAGACACTAAAAAGAGATGCACACAAGTGAAGTCGTGGAAGCTATCTGTAAGTCCGTGTTGGAAAATTAGCTAAAATATAAGGTTTTTTTTGGTGTTACAACAAGCATGTCCCAGCTGTGTCCGGGCATATGCATCATTTTTTAGTGTCTTTCGATTGTCGTCTGCACTACTTGCAGCTTTTCTGCATTTGGTTGTGTTTTCTGTATTTGTTTGTTTTCTCACCTTGCAGCAATTTTTCAAACTTCTGCACACAAATTGTCGAAGGTGTTTTCTTAATTTGCAGTGTGTTGAGCTCTCAGGGGCCGACTTACAAATCCCTTTAAGTTTTACATTTGAATACATTTAAATTTTCACTTCACAAAGGTCACAAGCAGCCGAAGGTAACCTTTTTCCTGCGAACTATAATGTGATTGCTAAGTAAAAGGGAATGATTTGGTAAATAGCTGTAATCTGTGGAGAAGAGGAGAGACGATGTGAGGCAGCACTAAGATGATATTTCAGCTCATGACACAAGATGGGCCAAAAAAAAAGAAATGTTGCTGTCTCGTCTATAACTGAAGGTCATCTTGCCCTCTGTGAGGCAGAAGAGATAAGAGACGACGCGGTGGAGTGGTGACTGCTGTAGGTCACTGCAGGAGGGGCAGAGATTGGAGAATTAAAGCAGTTTTTTTGGGCTAAATAACCTTCACCTGAGAGAAGTGAAAGAGGCAAGGTTTCAAAAAAGTTGGGAGTTAATAAAACGCAGCTTAACATGCTTCCTGCAAACATAGATATACAGGCATTTACTTTATAAACAGTAGTTATGCTTTGAAAGCCATGACTGCTTTACAGTATATTAAATATCTATGTAATATATTTTAAGTGTGGTTACCTCACGCTGAAAAATAAAGATTAAATGTTGTTTATATTTACCGAAACTATTCAATTTATTAAATCTTTATAACATTATTGTGATGATTTTTTCACAGAATAAAAGCACATTGACAAAACAAACAGGAGGCAAATTCAACAGTCACTCTTTACAGGCTTAAACATTTGTGCTTCTCATTGAATATATCTTTTTCCTTCAAACGATGGTGCTGTGGCACGTGTCCATTTATTGTGTGTTAAACAGGAGAAATATTATTTAGAATTCACAACTGCCTTCTGCTTTCATTCTCATTAAATTCTTTTGGCATTGAACTGAAATTACATGTGGGCTCGGATATGAAAGGCAACAGTAGCACGAATCATGTGTTTGCACCCATCAGTGAGTCTAAAGTAAAGTCTTTCTCCTCCTGTCACTCAATATGCAGCCAAGTCAGAGTGTAATTATACAGCACCAGGTTTAGTAATCATGTAATTGTGTGACAGTGATTAAGCATGAAGCGCCATGGAAAACTACTTCAGGGAAAAATTGTGCACAAATGTGAGGGACAGCTGCCTGTTCAAGGAGCTAAAACTACAGTATGTGGCAAAATGTAAATGAAGAGCACACCGCAGCCTCATCTAGCTCCCCCACCACTGCTTGTGAAAAGAAATGCATGTGGGTATTGATGAGTGTTTTAATACTAGGCATAGCTTGGCGCCACTTTCCGCTGCATCAGCCCTGGGCCTTGTGCCTTGCCCATGTGACAAGGTTGGATTTTAAAGCTGGCAAGTGTCCACGAGGTTAAAGAATGCCGCTACACATTTTGCTCATATGGCTTAATGGAAATATCAATGCAAACTGCATTTGGTTGCGTAAGGTTCATAAAATATCCCCCTAGACATATGCAGGATGCACAAACATACTGTACACAGCACAGGATCTGTTACAGAGTTAAAATCTGCAGGCATATTGCCAAACATAATGGGGGTCAGAGGCTATACATGCACCGACTGTATGTCCATCAGCTTGCTGGTCCTGTGGGTGGGAGCTAATCGAAAGCATATTGATGAATGGCGCTGCAGCATTTTGAGAAGTGCAGTGGCTCTTCAGCGCCTACTGAAGTGCTTCAGTCGTTTGTTTTGCTGCAAAACAAGCACAGGGAGGGTATTAAATGGTTGGGCTCCGATTTCTAAACGCCACATAAAAGCTAATTGTGGTCTTGTTCAAAACAAGCCCAAATGAAAAATGTGTGGACAGTAATTAAATGGCATTTAGTTTGGTCCAAGTTGTAATAAAACTGTTATGATAAAATGTCTTTTCATGTTCTCTGTGGTGTTTGTCTTTTCTCTATCTACAAAGTTATAATTAGCTTGCCTCTCATTGCCAATTAGGAACAACTGACTAGATTCCTGTTGATGATGTGCTGGCTTAATGCTTGTTGCTATGGAGAGGCACAGAGAGTGGATGGAGGCTTTTTTTTTATTGAGAAAGAATTGGAATAGAGAGACGTTTTTCTTTTCTTTTCCTCAGTTTTCTCACCTTTAAGTTTGTCTCTTGTCTCTAAAAATGACACTCTGATTTCCTTTAAAATTTTAAGAGTGACACACATAATTCCAGTTAGATTAGGTAAATGCACAGGTGTGTGTGGTTGTGATAACTCAGAAATCACCTACTGTACTTTGTGACACACTGACACATATTTAAGAAAAGTGAACTATAGTATAGATAGATATCTTTCTACAAAGATACATCCATTGAGTATATATGCTGTGCAGAGTTCTCATTGTTAATGTTATAATAAAAAATATAAACAAATATACATACACAAGACAATTAAAATTAATATTTTCTTTCATCAATTTCTAGTTCTGTTTATCTTTGATATTAACTGGAAAAAACTAAACAACAGAATTGATCAGAAATTAATTAAAAGAGAGACATCTGTTAGACCACTTGCATATGTGAATCTGATATTTAGCCAGTAAAATGATTAAATTAATAAGATCCAGAAAGTGAGTAATGAAAAATATGTTTGTGGGACCTTCCAGACTCAAAATGTAAGCACCACGCAGACGGATGACGCAACCTAATGACTCTGCTTTCCATCGTGGCACTACGATTCGCCACACATTCACTGCAGAATTTGACAGTCTGGCAAATTGAAATCGTACAGTCTGACACTGACTGCAGCTAAAACTTTATTAGACCTATCACTCAGTGTGACATACAATAAACCTGCATTTAACGATCGCACAGTCTAAAGGCACTTTATTGTAGACGAAGATAGTTGTGGGAGTCTTTTGTAGCGGAGTGTACAGGGTTCAAGAAACTGAATAGAAGAAGGTGCTTTTTTTAAAGCCTGTAACTGTTGTAGTATGCCAAACCCTTCTCAAAAAACAGCAGAGACAGTAGTGAGCTCTTGCTACAGTATAACTCAATATGCTGGTACAGAAACACTCATATCATGTGTTTCCTTGCCCTTCTCTTTTCTTTGACATCTCTAGCTGCCTGCTGATTTTCAGGAGCGACTGACCATGCACATGGAGGACTCTCCTCTCTGTCACACCTACCCCGACACCGTCCCGGCCTCTCTCATTGCCAAAGTGCTCGAGAAGCCAGACGAGGCGTGCAGCAGCAGCCAGGCCTCCCGCTCCCCCAGCCCCCAAACCCAGGACCATGCCTTTATCTTGGAGCGCTTGGGACCAGGAGAGCGACTGGGGCTACGTGCAGCCTACAAATCTGATCTGTACAGCAGCGACACGGCCCTGTACTGCCCAGACGACCGGCACCGTGAGCGGAGGCCCAGCATGGACCTCCACGGTGAGAGGAAGCTGCTATACGGGCCCCAAAACTCCACCGACAGCAACCCAGAGGAGGGCTCGGTTGGGTTGAGGGCTGGCTTCACCCAGGAGCACTTTCCTAAGTTCCCTGCCACACTGGGTGCAGGCTCCAGCTCCTACTCAAGCTTCAGCGGAGGGGGGTCTGAAGACAAAGGCAACGGCCCACCCAGCAGTGCAGCTTCCTCCCCACGCCACCATTCCCTCTACATGGACTGGAGAGATGCAGGGGACTATGAGAGAAAGAGTGACTCATCCTGGGAGAGGGACAGTCCAAGAGGCTTTGCCAACGCTCATCCCTTCCAGCAGACGGAGCTGAGCCACCACCAGAACGGTAGCTCGCCTGTCTACAGCCGCACCATGTCCTCCTGTTTCAGTGAGCCCTATGAGCCACTCCCTCCCTCTTCATCCCCAAGTGTTGCCTACGGAGACAGCCGCCGGGGCAGCACGTTAGCCCCCGAGGAGGAGGAACTGATTGGCCGATGGAGACAACTTAGTGTGGAGGACTTAAGTGCCCACACCTACCGCAGCCCAGGCCGGGCTTCACCTTACAGCTTCTCAGAGCAGCACTTCTCTGTCCGGCCGGCCAAGATCCGACTCGGGCCTCTCTACAGCAGCTTCCAGGAAGGGGCTGACTATTACCATCACGCAGCGGGTGTCATGGACCCGGTGTGGGTAGCCGGCAGCCCCAGTCCCGAATGCAGCCCAGGGCTGAGACAGGCACATAGCCAAGCCCACTTGTACCGAGCTGAGGACAGCCAGGGGTCGGAGCACAGCCTCTACCACTCAGGGAGCTCCAAAGACAGGGAGGGCAATGTGGCATCTGGCGGCCAGAGCACAGATTATGTAGACCCCAGCCCCAACAGCTCCACCGAGTCTCTGAACCAGAGAACCCTGGAGATGGCCGCAGAACTGCAGCACTACCAAGTGGAAATGCACAGTATGCCTGCACAGGCGAGCCAGTCGCCGCCGCCAGCCCCACCCCCTCCTCCTCCGTACAACCAAAAATTTGGCTCCCTGGGACTTTCCAGGAAGGACAGTCTGACCAAGGCCCAGCTTTATGGAACACTTCTGAACTGAAGGACTTCCCAATCAGGTTTATTCTTTGATAGGATCCTAGACGCAAGGCCCTGCTACGTGCAGCTACACCTTCTGTTAGCGAGATCATTTTGATAGATAATGGTTTGAATAGAAGTCAGGAGCCAAATAATTCAGTATCACAAACATGTAACTATTGCTGATTATTTAAAAGCTTTGGTCGTATGACAGTGGGTGGAAACAGTTTACACCACAGTTGTCCTGGGAAAGTACGTCATGTTGAAAGAGTTGGCTGCGGGGCGGTAGGAGGGGAGTGGAGCTCAAGTGGCCCCGTCAAAATTTGTATGAATGTGTATGTATTTAAATTACAAATGTATAAATATATACTTATAACTGAAAATTGAGTGATATATTTTGTATGTAGCTGTTAGCAAGAATTAAATCTAAAACAATCAAACTAAATGCAAATCTTCTTGATAAACCTGGAACTTGTATATAAAATTAAAAACTGCCAATCCTATATTCGGAAAAACCCTGAGAAGTATTTTAATTGAAACTGATGCCCGTATAAACTGCACATAGATTCGTTTCAGTCATTATTTTTGGATCGACGGAACGGTGTTGGCCTTTGTGAGAGTTTAAATATGAATGTTGAACACAGGAAGACAACAAACACAAATTAATCACTTAATGAGAAACACATGCTACATTTTCTTTTCCTTCTGTTGATTGAATTTGACAGTATCGGTGGGTGTGTTATATTGTTATTGATGGAACGTTTTGAGATCTGTCTTAGCAGTCAGTATTATTTTTTATTTTTGCTCTTCTATATCTCACAGAGAGAGGTTTTCCTGCCCCCATTCTACCTCAGATTTGGATGCCCACACCCCATCAAGCCACTGTAACCCTGTTTCTTTGACAACGATGCATGTTTATACATTTTGGTTGTTTTGTTCGCCTAATAAAGCACAAGTTATACATATAAGCTCCAAGCCTTCTTTTCATGTTCGAATGGGGGGGAGATTTGAAATGTGCATGTATGAAAGATACATTTAAATTTTAAAGTACAGTAGCATGTGATCTTGTCTTTTTAAGATAATTACGTGTCTGCTGATCCGCAGTGGAGTGATTGAACTGCGAGGGAGACCCTTCATCAGTCAAATTCACATTGCTGCAGCCATGTGGTGCGTGCTTGCTGAGTCACTTGGAAGCCCGGCTTTATCACTGATGTGAATTTAAAAATAGGTTAGTCGAGAAAGGATTTTTTGCCAAGATCAGCAAACTCAAAACAGAAAAAGGAAGTTTATTCTGCATGTTCCAGGGAGTCATTCAGAAAATACTACGAGGAAATGTTTGTTATGCTGTTTGTTTTTGTGATATTACACATTAAATGACAGCTAATACTCACCATATGGTGGCAATTGCTCTTCTGATGTTAGTGGTATTAAATATACACAGTGAACAAAATAACAGGAATACCTTACAATATGAATATACCTTACAGTATATCCCTGCAATGAATTCCTCTTATGTAAAACCTGCTGATTAAACTTTTTAGGTCAATATATCACAATGAGGTGTAAGGCAAAAATAATAGGTCAGTTAATCATTAAACATTTTTTGACTCCTAATTAATCATTTAAGTCATTAACAAAGCACTATTTCCATTTTCCAAGCTCCAGTCTTTCAGATTGGAGGGCTTTTGTCTCCATTATTGAGTTTTGGACGTCTGAGGATGTCACCATGGATTGTATTTCAGTATTTCCTGACTAATTGTGTGGCTTAGTGATTAGTTTATTAATTAAAAAAAGCTTTAGGAAAATGTGAGTGTGAGAAATTGGGATTATTCACTACGTGATAGCATTTATAGATAAATCGAGGAATCAATAATTGTGAAAATAACAGAAATCAATTTTAGCTGAAGGCAGAAATTTAATCCACCCTCTATATATTCAACATCCTGAGCAAACAGTGGTTCAAACAGAATTAAGAAGTCACCCAGTCATTTCAGAATGCATTTATTATTCTGCATTTTAATGTTCACATAGTAATCATTGCTGTGTCTCCTTCTTATCGAGGTGAGCTTTAATGTGAGACTGAATCCATCCACAGGAGGGAGCCACAGCGTGGCAGAGTCTCACTCATCTGCATTGTCAACCTCATTGTTCTGTCTCCTCCAGACACAGCAGAATGCATTTACACTTCAAACACATCTACAGAGGGAAACTAGATTAACAGCTACCCTCCACCTCTTCTCCTTTTACACTGCAAAATACATGCTACAGTATGCACAAACTTAGCACTCAAGCACAATAGCTGAGCTAGAAAATGGATACGCTTTTCAACCTGCTCAAGCACAAGCAATAATGTGACCTCACAGTGGAGGAAAAGGTGACAACTCAGCTTGACTTTGATGAATGCAATGAGGGGATCAGTACTTTCCTTTTGATCTTGATGTGTGTGTATGTGTGTGAATCTTGGTCAGGCATAAAGACAAGAGAGCAAGCCGCTATCTAGATTTTGTATAGAACATACCCAGATTGAGCAGGCTCCCAGGAGACTGTAAATTAGTTAGTTTTTGGAATCATTTCCACATCTGTTTGCACTGAAAGGTTGATTTAAAAGTAGTTTTGACAGGAAAATCTACCATCAAGCACCTTGTTTCCTCCTTCCCTCCTTCCTTATGTTATGTGAGTGTATTTCTAGGAAGCCAAAAAGTTCATGTCTAGTCTTTTGCTGTAATCGAGGTTTGGGGATTGGAGAAACCTAATTTCCCTGGATAAATGATCTTCACTGGCCACGTATACAGGTAACCAGATTATTTTTATTACGTGTACATGTGCATGAGGAAGACTTTGGTTATTGCAGAGCAGGTAGATGTAAGGAAAAATCTTTTTACGGGCACATCTTTTTTTAAATTCAAAGCTTTATGCACTCTCCTAACAGCCCACTCCAATGTACACTGCACTCTTGCTCACAGACACTTAATTTAAACACTTCAGTGGCACAATACGTCATTCAATTAATAATTATATCCCCAAGGTGGCAATCAGTCTTTTCACAAGCCATCTCTCACAGTGTCTGTGGGGCTTGCTGGAGATTAAGTATTTTATCCAAGAACACACGAGTCCTCCCCAGCACGGTCCACAGAACAGGACTCTGCTCAGTTAGCGAGCCCGACCATCCTCCTGCTTATGTCCCACAGTCTCTTGGCTGCCTGGTCATCTGTAGCTTTGGCCATCAGCTCCTCCTCCTCACAGTTAGCGAAACACTTTCCCGAAACTCCCTCCACCTCGGGGGAGCAGGACAGATAAAGCGGAGTCTGGGCCCCCTCCAATGGACTCTTGAAAAAGAGTAGCGAGGCGAGGTAGAACAGCGGCTTTGCCAGGAAAGGGATTTTGACATGCCTGCCTAGTTTGGTCCTCACAATGCCCGGGGTGAGAGCATTGACTGTGACCCCCGTGCCCTCCAGCTGGCTGGCCAGTTCAAGTGTAAAGAGAAGGTTGGCCAGCTTGCTCTGACTGTAGCAGAAAGCCTTATTGTAGTTATTTTCACTGTTCAGGTCGTCGAAGTTGATGTGGCCGTACTTGTAGAGCTTAGAGGAAACCACGACGATGCGGCTGGGAGCCGAGGTCTTCAGGAGGTCCAGCAGGAGGTGAGTGAGGAGGAAGTGACCCAGGTGATTCACACCTAGCTGCATCTCAAAACCATCCTCTGTCTTTGTGTAGGGACACTGGTAGACGCCTGCGTTGTTGACGAGCACGTCGATCTTGGATTCCTCCTAAAAGGGTCAGAGAAATTTAAATCAATTAATACTTCATAAGTTAAACTCTCTAAAAAACCTTGACATATAAATGAAAGGTTTTTTTTTTTTCAATCTAAAGCAACTTTAAGTACTATACAATTTATAAATATAAGTAAAGTACAAGTATGAGGTTTCAATGAAATATATCAATACAAATAGCCTCCGATAGCAGATATAGGGGTATAAATAGATATAGATATGTAGAATATATTGTACATTTGTGATGATGGTGCTGTTTCCTTTATAATGTACCTGCGTTTGTTAAAGCACTAATTCATTCCAACAAATCTTTGGTCTTAAAGGGAACATCCAGAGACACCCAGTGGTTATGGGAGGTAAATGTTGGCTCATGACACGGAATATATTTCACAGAAATACTGCATTAGTACTCTTTGACTAACACTATCAAAAGGGATCGAGAAATTGGGAAGATATATGGATACTAATCGATTTGTTGAGTGTAGACTTGATAAGCTGATCAAAAGAAAATAAGGTTGATAACTGATTCATCATTTTTTAAAGCAAAAAGGCGAAAATAATTGATGGTTCAAGGTTCTCAAATGTAAGATTTTGCTGCTTCTCTCGGTCTTAATCATAATAAATACATTATTTTGGGGTTGTGGATTTTTTTTATTGCAGCAAACAAGACATTTAATGACGTTACTTTAGGCTTCAGTAAATTGTTATGGGCATTTTTCACAGTTTAACTATCTAACTGCATTTTTTAACTGTTGTTTTATACACCTAAATGATTAATCAAGTACATAATTGGCAGAATAATGTACTGAACGCAGCCTCTAAAGTACGCTTGGCTCTGCGTAAGTGACTAAGAGTATATCTTGATGACATCTTAGGAAAACATCAATATGGTGCCAGGGGACCAAACTTTCTCTGTAAATTAGACTAGTAGCAGGAATTAGCTGATGGATGCTGTCAGACTTTCTCATCCTGGCTTTAATCTGAAAGGTGATCTGAACTGTCTGGTAACAGGAATGAACGATATGGATTTTATCATCTGATATTAGAAGTTCAGAACCTGTAATTTATGCACACGTGACCTGACGGTAAGAGAAGCTATGGTGTAATGAACAAAGATGGATGATTCATTGTTGTTTACCATCACTCTGACATAAACAAATGTTATACACAACATAAACAAACAACAGTTCTGACTCATTTACTTTTTCTAAAAAAAAAAAAAAAAAAAAAACCACAAACATACTTTGGTTTTCATAGAAAATCAAACATGCAGCATCCAAATTCAAAATAAGTTATCATTATTATTATCATCAACAATCAAAGTGCACCCCTGCTGGTAACAGTGATTTGAGGACCACTATAGACCTTTTCATGTCAAGGACCCCCTAAAAGATTACATTAGACCACAGACCCCTAATCTAAGAGTATTTTGTATTAAGGAAGTAATATTTTTTAGGTTTGAAGATTACTATACAATCAACCCTATTGCTTCCCACTTAAGGACCCCTCTTAGTCCCCGGACCCCAGTTTGAAAACCACTGCATGAGGCTACTGACGTTCAGCACCACGGACAGCTGAAGCACCGGTACTGTCCCCCTTTGCATTGGACCAGACAATAACTGGAATGAACTAGACTCCAGCAACATAACCAGCATTTAAAATAAACTGCACATTGAGCAGGAGACAATGAGGGTAAACTGCCCCCATGCACTGTTCAAACTTACTTCACGTATTTCCTCACAAAATGTCCGGACTGATCTGAGAGAAGCGAGGTCCAGGTGTTTGATGACCACCTGCCCCCGTGTTGGTCCCGCCTGTTTCTGGATGTCTTTAGCGGCCTCCTCGGCGCTCCGCTGGTCCCGACAGGCCATGACGACCCGGGCTTGGAGCTTCAGCAGCTCCCCGGCCAGGGCCTTCCCTATCCCGCAGTTAGCCCCGGTCACGATGACCGTCTTCCCTCGCATGGTGTCGGCGGGATACCGGAGCAGCTTCACGGCTTTCTGCCGGGGGAATAAACGGCGCATCAGCAGCAGCACCCCACCGCCGACAACAGCGGCTATAAGCACCGCGGTGGACATGGAAGCGGGGCCGGGGACAGCACAGCAAGGGCAGGATGTCTCGGTGGCACGGTGTGTTATGAGACCAAGTTACAAAATTGCCCCGGAAATACAACCTAGGCAACTTATTGTGGACTTTATGTGTCACATGATATTTGTATTTTTCGCACACTAAACATTTTGACTTAAACGAGTGCACCGAAAAGCAAACGGCTCAACTAACGGACAGTTCAACGGTTGCTAAGCAGCAATGTAGCGCAGTGGGTTAACTGAAGTTAGCGACGTTAGCTTCAGAGGCGTCTCTTAAAACTACTTCCGGGGTATTTTTCTAACTGTTTTACACGTTATACTAAAGTTAGCGTTACACCTGTGTCAAAACTTTCTCCCGAAGCCATTATAAATGTTTTATATATATGTGTTTGTATATAGGCTATCTGGATTTTTCCAAATAGCTACTTTTGAAATGGAGATTAAAACTAGAGTGATTATTTTTCCCCTCATAAATATTGTCAACCTATTTCAATTCTTTCATAAATCATATACATTCAGCACTAGGTGGAGCTATATGAACACAAAAATAGATTATCAGATTCTCAATTGCACTTTTAAAGGATATTTTACTTCCTAAATGCTTATTTTATTGTCCTCAGAGTCGAACTTGGTCACAATAATACAATTATAGTTGTAGGTGTCAGCCATCAGCTCCAGTCACCTTTTCTAAACTTTTTTGCAACAACTGTGCCTTTATATAGGTTTATATTGGCTTATTATTATGTCAGGAGTTTTGCCTCTATAAAGAGAGGTGTTAATTGTTGTGTTGTTTGTGGCAAAGAAAATAATATTGCTGCCTTTTGAAGAGGTACAGTAGTTGTTTTTAGTAAGGCGGTATATGGAAAATTAATACCATACAGGAAATCACAGCTGGTTCAGACATACAGTCATATCAATTAGTAATTTCTCTTCTCAGGTGGAGTCTAAGGTAGGACTGAGAGTGAGGCATCAGCTGACGGGGATCCTAATTACTAACAAGTGGCTAGAAATAAATTTCCCATCCAGCCATTATATGGTTGCATTAGTGAACTCAGAGTCCCGTATAGACTTGTCCTTCTAACAGGTGACTCTATTGCTGAGGGGCTCTTTATAACCAGAACTGTTGTACTCCATAGAGCTTTCTACTATATTGGGTGAACAAAATATTATATTATTATTATTATTAGTGTTTGCTGCTTTCACCCTATAGTCTGACATGAACTGTGTTCTGTTGTACTGTAGCTTATATTATAATACTCCAGTGCTGAAATGTAGAATTGTTTTCGGTCAATCTCTCTTTTGCAGTGGTTTAATGTAACTTAGTACATATACACAAGTACTGTGTAAGTAGTGGAGTGCTGCCAGAGAGCTACTGGCAGCGGAGGCACGGCTAAGGCAGAAGGCCCTTGGGACGGTGGCAAGAGGGCGATCAAGCCTGGGCTACTTTCCAGGCAGCCAGGTGGACAGAGCTAAAGGGAAGAAGCCACAACATCTCCTCCAGGAGGAAGTGCGCACAGGTGTAGAGGAGATAAGAGCCAGCAAGATGGTGGGACTGAGTCAGCAGGGAGCCTGGACAAGGTGGGAGGAGACGCTGCAGCGGAAGATCTCATGGCCAGATCTCTGGTGGGCTGACAGCTACCGCATCAGTTTCCTGATCCAAGCCGTCTACGACACCTCGCCAAGCCCAGCAAACCTTCACACCTGGGGCAAGATTGAGACACCAAAGTATGCAAGAATCCGCGGGGCCTCAAAAGCCTGTACTGTGCGCTACACATTATGTGTTTGTAATAGACTATTGGTTGGACAAAACAAGCATTGTGAAGGTGTGTGAGGGCACTTCTCCCTATTTTCTAAACTTGTACAAACCAATCAAGCGATTAATGGAGAAAATAATAAGCAGATGAATCAATAATAATCATTAATTACAGTCCTATGCAAAATAGTTAATCTTTTGATCCTGAATTTGCACCTCAGCAGTCACAGTAAAATCCTGCTCTTACCTTAATATGCATGATTAATAATAATATGTTATAGTACATAATAGTTTAATGATCACAGGAGCCATTTGTCTGCATCGAGATTTATTTAGGCTACTTCTTTTTTAACAGTGTAGTATTAGTACTGTATTATATAGTGCTTTATAATAGTAATACCTCCTCCACCAGTGCTCTTAAGTGAATTCATTTGAACTCAACTCTGTGCCAACTGACTGGAAACATGCGACAGTAAATCGATTCCCTGACAGACACGGTGTGATTCATAACCTCGTCATAACAGCGTATCTGGAGCGGGAAGCGTTATTGTTGCTCTCCCGTTGCTCCGGGGAATGAAACGGAGTCTCGTTATAAAACTATCCACAGACTGTCGACAAGTTACTTCACTTCCTCTTAGCTCGCTGTGCGTCCAGTTGGGTAATACCGCCCGTTTATTTCAGGGCTTTGCTTCAGTTCCTGTTACTTGATGGCTAAAATGCAGAGTTAGTGGGGGGTATGCGGACAGTCTGTCAACACAGACACTATAAAGGCGATTTTAATTATTTTATCTGGCGCAACTGAACATCCCTAAAGCTCTACATGCATTTTAAAAGGATATTTATTTGAGCTCTGGTACCTGGATTAAAAAAAAAAATGTATTCTTGTCTAGCTCTATTCATCCTGGTTGCAACCTCTTCCATTTGTAAAGGTAAGTAAAGCTCTTATAATGATGTTTCTTGTTGTAGGTGAAGCATGGGGTTTAAAATGCAGAGCTGCTGACCGGTCAGATAGGCCTAAGGGTCTGAGACTTCTGGGAAATGCTTCTTTTGTTTTGGTTTCATTACATAATGTTCCCCTCAAAAAAAGTGACCGTTATTTAAAATGTCTTGAATTTAACTAGAAATATCACAATATAATATTCCTTTCAGCCAATTCGCATTTTAAATTATTATTATGTACAGTCACAGATAGGCCATTGAGACTAAAAACTGTATTTATTTATTTACAATGGACATTAATCAACACTGCATTTGACACTTAAATGTAAATTTGTCACAGTTAGCTAATCAACTAATTTCCATCTGTAGTCTTTCATTTGGGCAGGTTAAAACAAATGAGTGCATAATGTCACCAGTACAATGCTTCAACAAAACAATACAGTATAATACATAAATACATTACAGATATATAACAGTAATATATAAAAACAATGAGATTATTTAAAGACAGAGACAGAGATGAGGTGGTAAGACTACTTGATTACCTAAGTGCAAGTTTGGTTTGCCTTAATGTCTTAAATTTATGTTTAAAGGTTCATCTCACGAGGCACTTACTGTAAGTCAGAACACATATTTGATCCAAACTCAAAAGAGCCTTGTGAAATATATGAGGGTCAAATTACTCCGTGGACAAACACACACATACAAGTTTATTGAGCTAAAAGCTTTATGGATCATCTATCCACTCAGATTTAGTACATTTCATTTATGTAAAAGACAATTGTAAAGATTCTGCTGTACACTGGGATGGTCGTAGTTTTAATCCATGATACAATCTAGTCTATTCATGATCCATTGGAGCTGTTACTCAAAGAAAAAACATCACTATTGACAACTAAACAACGGATTCAGTTTAGTTTTTAATGATTGTTAGAAGGTTTCACCTGTTCTGCAGTCTGAAGTTTACACATGGATCAAAAAAACTCTATTATGTATTGTAACTGTAGTTCTATGATCTCAACTGGTGCCAAATGTAAAATGTTTACTGGTGACAAAAATAGCTTTAATTTGAATGATTTTCATTGTTATGGGCTTTTTCATTGCAAATATAGGACAGGAGCCTTTTCCAAACACCACTTGGCTTACCTACTTACTAATTCTGAGGTCCTGTCACATGCCTGAACACAGTTCCTGATTTATTTATGGCTAAAACAAAATGTGTGGGAAAAGCCAGGGAGAACTGTGTGGAAAAATTACAGGACTCTCATAAACCTGCTGCAATCCAGATGTGAAACAATATTTTGTACGGGAATTTGGCCAGAAAGTAAGAGCCGTGCAATGAGTTTGCAATCACAGTGCATCCCAAGCAGATCACAGACCCGTAACACTCCATTAAGATAAACAAGTATGTTATTGGAACAGTCAGGGAGCAAACAGTATAAGACTGTTTCTGTGTTGTGTTGTTGTAAACTGATTTTAAGTCGGATTTCCAGTCACAAAGCTAAGCATCAGATTTCCTGACATTGTTTTTTTTTAATCCACAAGGTAACACTTACTGCTGTTGTTAAAGGTCCAGTGTGTATACAGGCATCTAGCGGTGTAGCTGCAGATCGTTAAAAAAAAAATCTCAAAAACACGTCATTCTATAAAAACACAAACACAGACAGTTCCAATAAGTTCCCCTTATTTTAACCCATATTGCATACTCATGGGATACAACTATACTAGTAGAAATGACCTATAATAATAATGATGATGAATGATGAGTACTGATTCAAGTACCCTCAACTATCTGTCACTTGCTAGTACTGACCTCACAGTGCTCTCTTTCCCCAAATTAAAAATCTGCCTCAATACTCACTGGAATTATTTTAATCAGAGATAACATAAAGGCCAGGGATTGCTGTTGTGCTCAGAGTCCCTGGATGATTATAGCTGTTAGTCATGGCAGATACCCAATTTGCTTTATGAGTTAAGAGGAAAGACCTCTTAAACTCACATGCTACGGTGAGTTTAAGAGGTCTTTCCTTGGTACAGAATGACTAGCTCATGGGTGTGAACTCTCTACAGAGCCATTCATGAGCATTAAAGCAAAAATGTAGACAGCACAGAGTGGACAGTGTGTAGTGTAATGTGCTTTGTTATTTAAATTACAAAGCAACAAAGAGAGCATAGTTTCATGTGCTGCTGATGCTGCTAAAGATGGCTCTACTCTGATCTATCGAGATTACTGATACAGCATCCTCTTGAAAGATAAGGACTGATGGGTTTCTCCCCATGTGATTGAAACATTGGTGATACATTGTAAGAGAAGCCCTTGCTCAACTTGAAATAGCTTTATTTTATGTTATAAAATGGTCTATAAGAAGGAAAAGACTGCTACAGTATGAGCAAACATCCCTGTTGGTAGAATAACTCGTGCTGCATGTGAACATATACAGTATTGAATATGCAGTAACACTTCAAGTTGTTTTCTGTACAAACAGGTGTGGTTTGTGCTAAATCATTTAACTTATGGCAGGCATGAGGTGAAGTTTCAGTTTATCCTGTTTTTTTTCCATTTAAGATGTAATTGCCATTGTTTGGAACAAACACTGAAAGCCTCATAAGAAGACTTTGTTTGGCTGTTTTGCTGTGCTGTTTGAGCGTACGATGACCACCACATTTTGATTGGCTCTAGTTCTCACACCACTGCTGATGCTTTTTCTAAAATCTGGTTTTTAATCCATTGGCTATGAAGAAGAGGAGGATGTGTTTGATGTCAATCAAACTGCACAAATGTAGGTCATGTGCAGGTTAACCTGTCCCGTCTTTGCACGCTACGCCCAGTGCGGAAAAATCATCACAAAATCACAAGCTCTGCAGATTTAGATGGAATAAGATGGAAACCACCTGAAAGAAAGGGAAGTGGAACAGAGACTGGGAAACTACTATAACTGGATGAAGAGACTACCCCATAATAATAATAAGACAGCTTCCTTTTGTGCTCACCTTAGCATGGGAGTTGGGAAAGTTGCATTCAAATAAAATATAGGCTATTTGTTAAGTTCTTCACATGCTAAAGGCCTAACCTGCAACCTGCATAGTCTGTGTTACTAAATCACGAGAAGCTTAGAAATATTATACAAGTTAACAATAGAATAGAAATGTTTATTTTTTAAGTTAAATAGACATTATATCAAACTTTTGGACTACCTCTCAGCATTGTTAATACCCACACTCTTTCTCCCTGTTTGTGCGACGTGTAATAAGAAAAGAATAATTATATTTAATGTCAACATGATTTTAAAAAATGTTCCTTCTTTCAGAGTATGGTGAGTGCATTTATCTTGTTAGCTGTAAATCATCAAGCCATCGGTTAATGTTCTAATGCAATATCAATGTACATATGTGGGTTAGAGGAATAGTTTTCAACAGTTTGCTTACTACCATTTTTGCCAAGCATTGGATAAAAAAACTGATGCCACTGTCATGTCTTTACACTCGATATGAAGCTACAGCCAGCAGCAGTAGCTTAGCTTAGCAGACTGGAAACAGCTAGCCTCAAATTGTTAAATCTGTGCGACGACTGAAGTGTAAAAAGGAGCTTTAGAGGTCCTGGAAGGCAAATTTTGTTCCTGTTGGACAGAACCAGACTAGCAGTGCCTTTCTGTTTTCGGCCTTTGTGTAACAAAGCAAACCAGCTGACGGCTCTAGCTGCATATTTGCCATAAAGACACAACAGTGGTATTAATCTTCTCATCTAAGAAAGCAAACAAGTGTATTCCTTAAAATGTCCAAGTATCCCATTCATGTAAACTGCCTGTTACATCATTATTTATCATTATAATTGCAGGTCAGAACGTTTTCCCCAAAGATCCGTACATTGAAGTGGGATCCAGTATCAATATAGTGTGCCAGAATAACGTCCAAGGCAAAATATACTGGACGCTGAACAGTGAACGAATAGATAAAAGCTGGCCAGTCACTATCAACTCCTCACACAGCGTCCTGTCACTGCTGAACTTCACTCACAGCAGTGCTACACTGCAATGCCACAGTGCAAATACTCAAGTCCTCGGAGGCACCATTATCAGAACGTACAGTAAGAAGTGTTCTTAGGTACTTATATTCTGAAACTTAATATTGCACGATATAATGATATTTCATGTAATTGCTGACTTCCTTTTTTCACAGCGAAACCCAGCAATATGTCATGCATCTTGACTGATACGATTGGTGATAGTTGGTTCATGTGCACCTGGGAGCATCAGACTGATTCTTCATTGAAAATAAACTACACTGTCCTGTGGTGGGTTTCATATTTTCTTCCTTTTTTGAAGAACTAATGCAAGAACAATTCTTTGTCTTGTTGATGTCCGTACTTAATGTAAAGCATTTATGTCTTTCAGTAACTCATGCTCTAACCTGAGTGAAATCTGCAACTCCCAAGAAACATCATGCAAATCCAAATATGCGGATATAGCCGAGGAAATAACTTTTGTGGGGGATTTTAATGTTACTGTGAGAGCTAAACACGCTGCTTGGGAAGCGTTTTCAGAGCCTCAAGTATTTAAACTAAGAGAAATATGTAAGTACCATAAAGTAAATGTTGTAAGAAATTTTGTTTTAACATTGTACGTTTCTGCATTTTGATGTGTTAACCTGATCATATTCCCTTAGTGAAAATTAACCCTCCGAAGTTGAAAGTAACTGCCGTCTCTGATCACCTATTGGTTGAGTGGAAACCGACATACAAAGTCCAAAGAAAGTATCGCTGTCAAGTCAAATACAGCACGGTATGTCCCTCTTTGATCTCCTAACTTCAGCATGTGAGGTATTTACTGGAAGCAGCTGTGAAATCAGGAAAACACAGACTTTTACGCAACCATCCAATGACAGCGATTTCAAAACAGAAAGAAAGATGACTGTAAACAACCATAGAAATAAAACAGAATTAACATCCTCTCTCATGCAGGAAGAAACTAAGCTTCCCACAACAAAACAATAATAAATATAGTAAACATATACCTAGAGTTCATAAGAGCAATCTGCAAAACAGTTATCCCAAACAGTGAAGCTCATTCATGTCATTCATATTATGCGTGATCAGTGGTAGCAGATGGGAGAGATAGATTTAGGTTTAATTACATTAAATGATGGACATTGGCTGACTTCCATGTTTGTTTGGTTTTCAGGGACTTCTCCATTGCTTAGTACCAAGTCAGATATTTCTGACCTTTCCGAAAATTCTTAATGTATGACCTGAAAGTTGTTTACAAGACGGTAAAATATCAGTAAAATGTTCATTAACAACGTGTTTCATTTCTTTGTTAAACTTTTTTATTGTTATGTTTGTGCGCCTACGGCAGTAAGATTGCAGTCTGGTTCAAAACAGAAGCCGTCTGCGCTGACTTCGGAACTAACGGTTTATAAAGCGATTAACTTAAACAGCAATCTCTCCGCCACCTTAACCTAAGTGCTCTGCTATGTGAACCTAACCACTGCTATCTGTGACAAATACAGTAATCAAACGCCTCAGACTCAGTGTGCAAGGTTTCTATGCATAACAAATTCAATTGGATGACGGATAGAAATACGGGAAATATGGACTTTCCTGTGCAAAGGCAAAGGAAATTATCTCTGACCCTAGTTCTAAAAATGTAAATTTTTTATCAGCGCTCCTTAGGGAAGAAGATCTAATGAACGTGGCAACCAATCCCTTTCTCCCCTACAGCTGCTTCTGATTAAAAACTAGTACATTTTTGATTCTGTTTTTGCAATCGTGGCTGATTAAGGTGATTTCTTGTTTGTCTTTCTGTTCCAGGCTGCCAATGAAAGTACTCCAGAGGTAAGAGACACATTTCTCCCTGGCAGTCATAAAGGAATTCATGTTTGTTTGGTTTTCAGTCATTTCCGTCTCATTACCTACCGAGTTGGTTGTATGGTATGATACATTATGACACGGTGTAGGCAGCACTAGCAACAAATTAGCCTCAGATTGTAAGTGTAGCGGCTAGGTTAGCGTTCAATAGCACTAAACTGATCACAGATAAAACTAACATGTCAAATAACAAACAACAGTTGCAAAACAACTTAGTAAAAAATGGCTGTCAATATTTGCTTGGTCGCAGATTAGACATGGATATAACAATGGCTGTTAGTGAGCAGTAAATTGAGCCTTCTGACATTTACGTTTCATCATTTTACACCATAACTGATGGCTACTGAGCTGAACAAATTTTTGCATCTATGTTGTGTGTAGTACAGTAGTGTAAATGCCATGCACACTACTTTTTTGTTCCATTGTGGAATTTTGGAGGGTAGTAAAAAGTTCACACACTCACAATTCAGACACAAATAAATGGCATAACAGTAAATGTGGTTCACTATATAGTAAGTGGGTGATTCCAGACACCGCCAGTGCCAGTTAAACTCCAACTGCTATTAAACTTTATTGCTTCTAATGAAAATAAAAAAAGGTGTAAAAACTAGAGAACAGCTGGTTTTGATTTTTGCAGACCATTTCTGGTTTGCCAGGTGTTCCAGGTTGTCAATAAAGGAACTCCAAAATAAAGGCAAAGCATTTAATTTCATCAGCAAAACAAAACAAAATGTCCATTAAAAATCTGCCATAGTAAATAAGCGTGACTTTGGATTGTCAAGATCAAGGTTTCTTTATTAGTACCCAAGAGTATATGTGTTGTGCAGACAGGAGGTTCTGCATTACGGGCATAAAGACAAGACAGCATAGTTGAAAAAGATGAGTTTTCCTTCTTGGACTTGTGTAGAATTTGAATGGATGTTTCTAACTGAAATCTGTCTGGTTTTCCTTTTAGGTGCTCAATAAGAATCTGGCAGAACTTGAGAATCAAGGGATCGTGAAGATTGAAAATGTGAAGTCCTGCAGTAACTACACAGTTGCAGTCCGCTGTGCTTCAGAATCAGCCCCCTGGAGCGACTGGAGCCAGGAGGAGACAGTTCTGACCAAACTAAACCGTAAGAACAATGTCAAAACTGATAATGGCAGGCTACTTCGAGCTGTTGTGTTGTAATCAGACCCCTTGTTTTCCTTGACGCAGGTTCAGTGCAAATTCCAAGAATGTGTTAAGACAACGCTACAGCTCTCTTAAATCCTTGGGGAGATATTAAAACTTCTCAACGTCAAAAAAGTTAATAAAATCCATGCTTAAATGTAGGAGAGATTATGAGAGGTTTTGTCCACATAGGACTGATTTTCTACTTAACAGCACTTTGTAAGACCATGATTCCTCTTTTTAGACCCTCTGTGCTAATCATTGAGATAGTTTCAGTGTCATCTTTTGAGGTTTGGAGATAGATATTATGAAATTGGCAAAAAATACACAGAAATCATTACTTATAAGGAGAGCCACACAACAAGCCTTGTGGCTTATTTTTTGGCTTTGGTTATTATTTTTTAAGTCTTATTATCATTCTTACATTTTTATTAAAAAATGCTAATAAATGACAGAAACTAAACTAGATAAAGTATAGTATTCCCACTAACTGTCCATTACTGTGCAAAACAAAGCACAACAGTATGACCGCTTTTGTTTATAGTTACTTTTGTGTTTTTTGTGGAAACAATCAACAATGATTGACTTCTAGATGATTAACAAATTAATGAAAACAAACTAAATATCTTTATGTATATATATATATATATATATATATATATATATATATATATATATACACATATATATATATATATATATATATATATATATATATATATATATATATATATATATATATATGTTCTATATACATGTTACATTGGTTTTGCTTAAAGCTAGGGTAGGTAACGCTGGAGAAACTGGCAAGAGACAGATTTTAAAGTATCCAACAGCCATTGCCATTCTTGTGCAACTAGCTCGGTAGCTTTAGTAATATCTGCGTGCCGGCTTGTGGAAGTCTCTGTTCATGTGCAGGGGGGGCATAGTTAGGCAGGTAGGTAGGTGGACAGGTTGGCTTATTACAGGCCTGTGTCTGCTACAGATACCGGATTCTGTTAGTGGGGGCTCCGAGAGGGAATAAAGATCAGCTTCAGTGACACATTTGAGTTGCAGGTTTGGACTTGAATTATGAATATCTTAAGATCCTAATACAAAGTCAAAAGGGAAGTCTGTGTCTGGCTCGCACATAATGCATAATGTGTTAAGTTGACCCCTGAGGACTGATAATTCCAGGCCTGCTGACATAATCGCAGGTTTTCACAGAATTGAGAATGTATCATTTAGTAGGGGTTTGGGTTGCACAATGTATTACTTCTCATTTGAATTCTTGGAAGATTCCTAAAAAGTTAAGTAAAACCATTGACTAATGACGATTATAATACAGTGCATCCGAAAATAAAGCACTTCACTTTTTCCACATTTAGTTATGTTACAGCCTTATTCCAAAGTGGATTAAATTCATTTTTTCCCTCAAAATTCAAAACACAATACCCCATAATGACAATGTGAAAAAATTTTGTTTAAAATTTTTGCAAATTTGTTAAAAATAAAAAGCAAAAAATAAAAAATCACATGTACACAAGTTATCACAGCCTTGACTCAATACTTTGTTGAAGCACCTTTTGCAGCAATTACAGCCTCAAGTCTTTTTGAGTATGATGCTTGTCACATCTATTTTTGGGCAGTTTCTCCCAGTCTTCTTTGCAGGACCTCTCAAGCTCCATCAAGTTGGATGGGGAGCGTTAGTGCACTGCCATTTTCATATCTCTCCAGAGATGTTCAATTGGGTTCAAGTCTGGGCTCTGGCTGGGCCACTCAAGGACATCCACAGAGTTGTCCCAAAGCCACTCCTTTGTTATCTTGGCTGTGTGCTTAGGGTCGTTGTCCTTTTGGCAGATGAACCTTCACCCCAGTCTGAGGTCCAGAACTCCTGGAGCAGGTTTTCATCAAGAATGTCTCTTTACATTGCTGCATTCATCTTTCCCTCGATCCTGACTAGTCTCCCAGTACCTGCTGCTGAAAAACATCCCTGCATGATGCTGCCACCACCATTGGTCACCTCCCTGACTAAGGCCCTTCTCCCCCAGCTCTAGGAAGAGTCCTGGTGGTTCCAAACTTCTTCCATTTACGGATGATGGAGGCCACTGTGCTGTTAGGCAGTAACATAACAAAATGTGGAAAAAGTTAATAGCTGTGAATACTTTCCAGATGCACTGTATATTATTTACAGTTGTCAACAGTGGCCCTGTTCTTTACTTTTTGGGCCTTAGTCGATACCAGATTTATGACGCATATTTGATATCGACTAATTGTATTGTCTTATCATCATGTGTATTCCAGGGTGATTGTTTTGAGTGTACTTTAATCCTTTACAGAGAGTGATGTCAAGCTGCATCTGTGGAGAAAGGTAGCTGAAGCAGACGAAAATCGAGTTCGAAAAGTTCGTGCCATGTGGGCGGTAAGGAAGTCTCTCATTGCTGCCGTACCGTAGCATATTTTTTTAAATCACTTTGTTTCAAAACTCCTAATTCAAGTTTCAACTTCAACTTTAACAACCTGTATTTCTTAAGAGACATGGACGTTAAATTTCTGACTGACGGAGTGCTTCAAACTGTCTACGCAGGAGATTCCTTCAACGTGCCAAGAAACAGTTACCTACACTATCAAACAGACTCCCTACAAGCAACACATGACTGGAGTAGATCATATGGAGACTTCATGTGACAATTCAATTTGTGATGTGAACCAAGATGCGCACAGAATAAATCTCAAAGTCTTTCACAATAAATCCCTGTTTGTGGAGGACTCCGTTTATGTTCCTGCCATTGGAGAGAGTGAGTTTCAATGATATTGATTTTCCTTTTTTAATGAGTTACCACAATTTATGGATCAAATTGACTAATTTTAATGGAATAATTCTTCACCCTGATGACGGTTAGTGATGTGGTATCAAGATTTGTTATTGATTGGTTTATTTTCACTTGATCTCACTTGGCAGGACTCCCTCAAGTTACCAACATTCAGACCTCAACCTTTGAAGGCGTTATTCTGGTCAGCTGGAAGGCTCCTCGTGAGCCTGTCAGTGGTTACATGATCGACTACACCCACAATGGAAATATATACTCTTGGAAGGAGACCAAATACACTAACACAACACTGTTTGGTAGGTTAGACAACAGAGATGAAGTGGTTGATGGATGTCAGATAGAAAGATGGATGTGGAATACTTTATGGGTCTTACATGAATACATGGAATGAGCTTTGTAGACGATTCATCATCAAACCCATGACTTGTGTTTGTTGTTTTTATGGCCTGGGTGTGGCAGATAATGGATATACTAATTGAGCTGCGCTGTAATGCATTAGCGGTGCAGAGAGATCTCATCATATCATTTCAAAACAGACAAACCAAACACTGGCTCTAAATTGGCCAGTTTGTGTTTGTAGTGTTCCCTTCACGCTTGAAAAAAAGGAGGTGAAGTGAGAGAGTTGTAATCTGCAACTACACTGCTAGATACCACTAAATCCTACACACTTTCATATTTTGACCCCTGATGGTGACGCAAAATGAAAAGTCAGGGTATCACCAAAGTTATTACAGTTCATCCTGGATCGCGTGACTTTACAGCTGCAGTGGACAAAACCTTCTGCCTCATATCTCTCCGCCTAGCCCCTCCCACCAAACCCACAACAGGCAAGAATGCCTTCTCACTGAAATGACATGTGACTGGCCAAAGTCTCCTGTTACAGGCTAGATTTTCTAAAGCCTGAAAAGAAGAGATGCAGAAAAAGGCTAAAAAGCTAAGCTTTGGTTATGGCTTTTATGTGTTTAGTGTCACTTTACTGCAATAGATTTTGAGAACAGTCTTCCCTTCCCTACAGACCTCCTGGATAAGAAGCCATACAATATTACAGTAACTCCCCTCTTTGATGACAAGACAGGTCACAGCACACAGGCCCATCAGATCTGCTCCAACGTTGGAGGTACGTCATTCAGATTTTTTTGTTATTCCGAGAAAGGATTTTTTTCATGTTTTACCAGTCTGATTTTGAAAACACTATCCCTACAGATCCAGGGGATTTCACTAATGTCAATGTTCAGGCTAAGCACAAAAGCGCCTTTGTGAGCTGGAGCGTGAAGTCACAAGAGGCATGCAGGGGTGCTGTTGTTAACTACATCATCTTCTATAGTACGCAGGACGGACCACAGCTCAGTAAGTCCACCACACACTTGTTTGAAGTTTGCAACTGAATTGAAGAACCTTCATCTGACCTTTTTATGGCATTTCTGTCACTGCTTTCTTCTAGATGTTACTGTAGACAACACAACACAACACATTTCTTTGAAAGATCTGAATCCAAACACCCAATACAGCGTCTATGTCAAGGCCATAGCTCATACTGGAACTACCAAAAGCAGTGAGAGGCTCTTCGAAACCAAAAGATTCGGTGAGTAGACTGTAGGGGCTCCTTGTGAATATAAGACACACATTTAGCCTGAGTTCTATATGTACAAAACTGCAGCCCTCTAATGAAGGAATGTACAGATTTTAGATTAAATGACCCCCACCTTCAGATACTTTATTTACTAATGTGCTACAATAATGTAATGTTATTGAGTTTAAATATCTTATATTTATATTTATTATATGTGATTAAATCAGCATTCTGCCACCCCTTAAAGTCTCCACGTCACTTTCTGGCTACCCCATGGTTATTTAAATTCAACTCTGGATACGGCTCAAGATAAGACTGAAATCTGAAGCTATAATCTTTGCCCAATGTTAATTCTGGCAGTTGGTATTTTGTCCAAACTCAAACTGATGTATCCCTTGTGTTGCATGTTTTGGCATGTCGGGTTGAACGTGCAGTCGGCTGAGACACTGTTATTAAAGTCTAAAAAAAACATGTCCTTTAACATCTCCCTCTTCCAAACAAAAAGTTACATGCACAAGCAAGTAAAACACAACGTTGCTCAATTCAGTACAGTGAGGGCTTTTGCAGCTACAGTCTTACTTTGTCTGGTAAGACCAGCAGCATATAATGGCTAATGTTGGCTTGCTGTAGATATTGCTATGTAATGGACTGACTTCATGACTCTTCTCTGCTTGTACTACGTTTACACTATGTTTTACCATTGAACATTATCCCATTAATTGTCACTTGTGCTTACAGTAGATGCCGATATCCAAGCGTTACTTAGTCTTACTCTAATCAAGCCCAGATCTGACTCACAAAAGTTGCCAAGCAACCTTAAATCATTGACAAATGTTGAAAGTGTCAAACATGGAGGTCCTGGCCCATATCCACGGGTTTCAAATAACAACCGTGACAACCACTGTTTTTTCTGGCAAACTGAGGGCAGCATCTAGCAACCCAAACCAATTGGAGGTTCTTGGGTGCTAGCAGCTGCGAGCAGAGTTCCAGCTCTGTGAGATCTGGGCACAATTCAATTAGTCATTTCTGAATAAAGGCAGCATCAAATAGCAAAGGACAGATAATAAAGCCTGTGTGAAATAGAGCTACTGTTTTATATCAAAATATATATATTTGGTTGGGGTTCACAAATAAGTGTGAACAAGAGTTGTTGAGTGCCATTACTGTACGATGTTTGACATGATGATTCTGTTATTACTTTGCTGCCATATTATGATTAGGGGTAAATTTACTACAAGGAGTTTTTAACTGGTTGTAAAAAGAAAAATTCTTAATTTAACACTTATGCCGCTGTATGACCTACATAAGCACACAATAAGATTAGTTATTTATATTGTTATTCTTGATGCCTGACACTGGGTCAGAATCAGTCAGCTTCCCTTTGAAATCAGTGAAATAAAGTGGCAGAAGCACTACTGCTTTTGTCCTCAAGGGCTGCAAGAATCAACAAATCAACTTGTTGCTGCTTTATTCAGATCCCAATTATTACAGTAATTACTCTTATTAATCACTTAAAAAGTATGTTGAGTAAACCAAACTGACATTGTTTTGTAGCTACATGGTCAAAACATCATAAATTATAATGCCTCTGCGTAGCAGAACATGAACAGAGTTTCATTTATTTATTCATTCATAGAGAAGTGAGTCACTTTTCATGCTCAACAAACACTGAAACATAATTTATTTTTATTATTTGCTTTTTTTTGACAGATCCGGCTCTCATCACAGCACTCAGTGTGTGTGGAAGCATTTTAATAGTCCTCGTGTTATCTGTTGGATTATGCTGTGCTATTCAGTAAGTTTCAACCTTTTACTGTCAGTGATAATGTGATATGGAAGACACTGAACCAAGTACTACGTCAGCAATAATAAAAGGCATATTGCACTGGATTTTGTTGCTATACAGTGAATAATCTTGACATTTGTGACCACAAAATAGGTGGAAAAGATTCCAGGAGAAGCCGATTCCTAACCCTGGCAACAGTTCGCTGGGGTTGTGGCGGCCGACGGCTCATGACCAGGTGAACTCAGTGAGGAATTTTTAAAATAGCTGAGTGAGACGGTTCACTTCTAGGTTATTTGTGGTCGGGGAGAAAAACATGAAAAGGATTTTGGTTTTGTATCCTTCCCCTGGGTAGACTTTGACCAGACACCTAAAAAGTAAAGTCTGAGAATCTTTTTATGTAGTCAGTTAAATGCTCAGTTATATTGTCTGTAAATTAGAGCTGAAACAATTACTTGATCCAAAAAAATGTATTCAAAGATGTCAACTTGATAAAATATAATAGTCATTCAGTATTTCACTGTTTTCAGATATTTTACAGAAAGAACAATTGATTGATCCATAATGAAAATAATGGGTAGTTGCACTGTAAATTGCATTCCCCAACATGAAGATCTAAAGCATTTAGATCTATTTTCAAAGCCTGCTGCGCACTACCAGGAGTCAACCTGGTCTTTAAAAGTTGGCCTTTAATTCATCAGATTTCAAATATATCAAGTCTTAAAAAAAGAAATACTAGAATCAGCGTTTGTAAACTCCCTGAGGTTGCTTGCTAAAACCCTGAATTTCCAGAAAAAAGGACAATAACTTCATAATAATCCTAATTTAGTTAAACCATTGTACACTTACCAGACGCCTCCTGGTTTTCACAGACTTCTTTAATTTATTTTTGTTGTCTGTTGCCCTTCTGTTTAGAAAAATAATGAGGAAATAACCTCGGTGTCCTTGAAGGTAGCTGCAACCCTGATGTCCAATGAGTAGCCACACAATTTCATTCCCATCAAAAATGACTGCAGATTTCCCTCCTCTGAGGTCACTTTTTCTGGTCTTTGATCACCTGCACAGATGGATTTAGATGGAGACACTGTACTACTGTCATTATTCTGTAGTCAAGGTTTTATCGCCCTCTTGTTCACCCTTTTTGTGTCTGTGTGTCAATGTGTGGATCTGTCCACAGGGAATATGGCGCTTCCAGCCATTGAGTTATCCACACCAAAACATCTTCAACGTGGCTGACCCAGTGGAGGTACAGAGAACGTCCATCTCTCCACTAACTCCAGGCTGCCATGATAACCCAGCCAGTGACCAGACAGTGGAATACACTGACCCAGTCCTAGTCACAGCACCAGACATACAGAGCGAAGACTCAGTTGAACGTAAAGAGACACAGCATCCATCTCCTCCTGAAGAATCCACAGAACTGCTTTCTTCCGAGGGCGGCCCGTTGAGCCCATATCGAAGTCAGAGTTCTGTGGAAACTGCTCCCAGGACCAGTAAACCATGTAAGTCTGTTTCACTAAAACAGCCAGACAAGACACCACCTGTGACCATTTACGTAACTTTGGACATGTTTGAATAAGATCAGAGCAGGAAAAATGAAAACAATACCTTAAAGATATTCCAGGAATCGGGTCAGTCAGCTGTGAATGAATCAGATGTGGTTTAATCTTGCCAAAGACTTTCATCTGTGACATTATTGCTGCTGAATATAAAGAAAAAAAATAGTATAATTTATATCAGACTTCACTCCCCAGCTAATAAACTGCAATGTTTAATGTAAAATAAAAGCACATTTTGCTACTGTCTATCCTTTATTGCGCAAACATGTAATATTTATAGGCCAACAATGTGTGTAGTAGCTAGTTTATTAAGTCAACTTGATGTCTTTTGCAGCGATAATTATATGGAGGTAACTGTATATTCCACTAAAGGTTCTCCTTTAATGCAAAGTCAGACCTAAATACATATTTAAAAACATATTAATAACATACAACATAGAAATATGTACAATTACAAACTGCATTAAATATTATATCACAAAGTTCAGGTGTGTCCAAGTGTTGTAAATATGTATGTACATTTATGGTGTAAAAATCCTGTTATTAGCTATGTATTATGATAAGATTCTCATATGTTTCCTGTTTGTTATTAGTGATATCTGCACTTGTTAAAGCTGTACTAAACTGCTTAAAACCATAAATGCTGTCACTCATTGCAGCTTTTCTTGAACAACCTGGCATTAGTTTTAACAATTACATGTACATAAGCTGTTTCATGGTGTAGCATTTATTGTTCTCCAGAAATGTTTGAACTCGCCTGAGACGGTATAGTTGTATTTGTATAAAATGGCGCACAAATGGATACAGAACTACACTCAAGAAGCTGTTAAATATAATCCAATGTATTATCACAAATTCTGTCTTATTTATATATATTAAAATTGTGAATGGTTGAAATGGTGAAAGTTTACTACTTAGCAAAGCACACTGCACCATTTACTAAATATTCACCGAGTTAAATGGGTTTGAAAAAAACTGCATGAATTTTGTGTTTATTTATATTGTATGATTTTGTACTTTATTAAACAACAACGTTAAATAAAGCACAGATTTGTTTCGGTTTCACAGTTTCTTGTTTGTGTCCACAACGTTTGTAATGGTTGATATAGTCTGTGATTGGAGGCAGATGGATGTGGGGGGGTGTTTTTTCCACAGAAGAGTAAATTGTGAAACAGTGCATGTCATCAGAAAAGAGGAAATCAGCTGTTTGAGAAATCTACTAACACTTGTGAGACCAAAATAAATAACATAAGCCTACATTGTCAGAACACAGTTCACAAAATAAACAACAAATCATTAATGTTGTCCTTTTTTTGTTTGTTTGTTTGTTTGTTTGTTTGTAGACTTATTATTTACATTTGTGTCCTGTCCTCGTAGGAACCAGCAGGTGGCAGTATGTCGCAGGCTGCCACCTGAACTACAGACATTACCAACAGGGATTAGAAGGCTAGCTGGTTTAGCCACAGCTAGCTAGCACGTTTGGTGACGGCTGTGACGTTGTGCTAGCTAATTGCTAACAAACTGGATTTAAAGAGAAACCACTCAGACGATAATATCACTCCTGGGGCACGTTGCTCTGCCGCGAGTCGTAGAAACATATGTCTCGCGTAAAAGCATGCCGGCCCGTCAGAATGTTTCCCGGGCTTGAACTTGTTGGATGACTCTGCTGCGTTAAGTAGCTGAAGGGCCCCGAGTCCGCGGCGCTCGAGTGAGCGACAGCCGGGGGACGGCGGCGGTCTGAGCGGGAGGGAGCATCGAAGCCACCGGCTAGCCACTAATAGTCACCGCACCACGACTTCTGTTCACCATGTCACACACCGGACCCCCTCCTCGGTGGCGGAATTGTCCCAGAAGAGGACAACCCGTGGCAGGTGAGGAAAAACAAACAACTTGACAACAGATCAACCTTTTAATTGAGCTATTTGTACGTTAGCTAGTGCTAGTGCTGCGGTAGCTAGCTTAGCGGTTAGCTGCGCGATTTACTGCCGTTTATGTTCGTCACAACGTGCTGGTGAAACGTGACTGTGTGTCTTTTCTGTCAGGTTATCACCCAAGTTTTATCTTCCTGATATAACACGCAGCGCTTTGCGATTTATTTATTTTTTGTCCATTTTCAGTCGCACATTGGTGCTAGGCTAACGTTAGCATCACAACACAGTGACGCTAGCCAGCGCTGTAGTCTGAATAAATGTGTCGTTTTGTTTAAATTAAGAGGTGGTTGGTGTGAATTGGGATGCCGACCTCATTGAGACGACACTAGCTAACTACATAAGCTGAGACTTTTATTAAGGAGTATGTATATTTGCCACATGTAGCGAGGGCAACTTAATTTGTCATATTTTTAAAGGAAGTTTGGTATTACACCATTCACTCGCGTGTTGTTTAGCTAACTTGCTACCTGTGGCTGATGGGCTTTGAAACCTAGATTTTTAAAAAAATCTAACTAACAACCCTAATTTAATTTTCAGCCAAATTTGAGTTTGTGGGCTGTTTCTTGCATTTGTTTTTCTATAAAGTGCATTAGAAAAGTGCTACTAAGTTGGCTAGCATCGCTATCGAAGCATCACGTGTCAAAACAAACCGGGGCTGTAGCATGGTTGTGCATGATGCTGTAGTTGTGGTCGATATCCAGTAAAGCCGTCTAAATATAAATAACATGTTTACTTAACTAGATCTCGCATTTGCCAGAACATCTCCACTTCACGTCTGCTTTTACCAGCAGTAGTCTAAACAGATGTAACACTGAAGGGCACAGTTGGTGGTTCTGGCCCTTTTTAAATCCATACTTCAGGTATAGTACACACAGTCCAGAGACATGCCAACAAATAGTGTGTGTGTGCTGTTTTTATACTTAATTTAAAACCTGAATGTACTTCTTCTGTGCTTTGTAAGCCCTGATATTTAAACCCATGAAAATGCCACATTTGTCTGGTGATTTGTCCTCTTGATTTGGTTTGATAAAACATGTTAACCATTTCATTTGTTGACAAAATGTTTGTGTGGTAGACTGGGCTTTACAGAAATCAGCAAGTAAATTCAAGATAAAATCCTAGGGTAAATAAAAAACAAGGTTTTGGTGAACTAATCTATTCATTGGCTTCTTCAGGTTGCTACTCAGAGTACAGTGTTTTATACTTACGGCTGCTGCTTTATTACTTGTATTTTACCCTCATAGCTAAATTCCTGCCAATGAAAACGATGTTGGGTCCCAGATATGATGACCAGGTTGCAGAGGAGAACAGGTTTCACCCAAGCATGCTGTCCAACTATTTAAAAAGTCTTAAAGTAAGTAACTCCTTGAAGACTGAAGTTCTGAGTAACATTTTGAAGTTGAGAGACCCACATCTCACCATGTCTTTTTTTTGTCTTTCCTCAGGTGAAAATGGGTTTGCTTGTGGATTTGACGAACACTACTCGCTTTTACGATCGCACCGAGATTGAAAAAGATGGCGTAAAATATATGAAGCTTCCGTGTAAAGGGTATGAGAACATCTGCTGTCATGAGTTGAACTAGTCGAAAGTTAATTAGTAACGTACTAAGACCGGTGTCAATCTGTTTGCTCTAGCCATGGAGAATGCCCTTCAAAAGAGACAACTGGGATGTTCATCAGGCTCTGTGAACACTTCATAGAGAAGAATCCCACAGAATTGATAGGTAAGGAAACCTGAACTCAACAGTTAGATCAGATCAATAATTGACCATGTGCTTCTTACAGATCATTTGTGTTTTCTCCATTTTATCATCTTTGTCTGAGGAACATCTCCTTTCATAGATTTGATAGAGAAATGTTTATATGACTGTGAACATGTTTTGATATCGAAGGCTTGGGTCAGCTAGAATTTACTGCTGTGGAATAGTTGGATCACATCTATTGTTATATGTGCTGTGTTTTATGTTGTTAAACCTGAAGTAGATGATAAGACACAATAAATGTCAGTCTGTTTTCTTTTTTTCCATCTTACTTGCACCTCTTTGAGTTGTTTGTTTGCAGTTTTTTGAGGAAATGTGACTTTCCTCCTGCTATTAAAACTGATCTTGTAGTTAAGAGATTGAGTTATATTCAGTTAAGTAGTGTAATGGTAATCTGCATCGTTCAGTAGTGAAAGAAAATGGTTGCATTAATGTTCCATGTAGTTAAGCATTTGGACCAAGGGAAGCCCCTCTGCCTGTGTTTTTACTGACGCTTATATCCGTGTGACTGAAATCCATGAAGTGCTTTGCTCACAGTAGAATATGAAGATATATGAAAGAAGAACTTCAAAGAGTGTAAAAACTGCCGGCGCTGTAAATAAGTTTTCCCTGTGTATAATTCACTCAGACTGCTGGAACAGCTTTGCCTCAGCAATGAGTCATTTGGATTTTGTTTTGATGGGTTACCCCCCCGCAGTTTTACTCCTTAGACATTCAGGCTTCCGTTCATCCCACTCAATGTGAATCTTAATGCCTGAGCAACACCTAAAAAAAAATGTTGAATCTTAAATACGGGCACCTGGAGCATTATTTCTAAAAACATTACATTGCCTCCCTTATTTTGCTGTAAAGACTTAATGTTTTACTCTGTCTTGTGAGAGGGTGTTTTTTTTAGAGTATCCTTAAGGGTTTACGATTTTGTGAAGTGTGTGGGCATACTCCACAGTTCTCAGTGACATATAGGTTTCTAATATTGTGTCCTAATAATAGTTTTGTTGTGGTACTTTAATGTCAGACACTGAACACACTCTAGATAATAAGCAGTAGAATAATCTTAAATCGTGATAGTATGAATATTGGCTTTAGTCCATTCTGTTGTATTATTAACTTAAGTTATTTTATGGGAATTTATGAAATAAAGGAGCTTGTGTTTACTAAAACAGAATTAAGATTAGCAAGAAATGTCTGATAATATAACAGCATCCTGCAAGTAGTATGTTATTTATTAACAGCTTTTTCCATTTGTTCCACATTTCACCCGATTTTTTTAGATTGGGATACGTTGGAAAAAGCTTAACTGCGCAGTGTAATTTAACCTTTTTTTTTACTTATTAAAGTACATCTTTATTGTAATGTTAGAGTGCAGGTGCACTGGATATGTGCACTACCATAAGTCTCCAGCAGATAGCAGCCTTACTCTAAAATTGCTCCAGAGCAAATTTAATTGAGGTTGCATATTTCATTTCAAAATGTTCACACTGTTTTGTGTTCATACAGTTGTACACTTAAAGCCAGACAGCCTTCCAGGTACAACCAGTCTTCTGCTGAGGGTCACAGAATAGCTCCATGTAGCAGCTGCAGGTGAAACGGCCCTCTCGAGGTTTGTTCACGTGTCTCTGTTAAAGATTGGAAATGTGCAAATGCACTCCCTCGTGTGCACGGCTCTCAATCCAACGTCCAACATTAGAAAGCTAAACAAAAACACTGTCATGCAAAGTCACTATGTGGTTGGTTTTTATAAGTGTGGGAGTTTCACATGAGAAACAACACTCCACTCCCACTGAACACTGTGTAGGTGATTTCTGGGTGAAAGGACATCAGTGGACTCCAAGCCTAAACTCTGGCTAACTGAATTTGGTTTAAAAGGTTGGTTTAGAATTGTGAAGATGTATGTGGGCAGGCTTTTGCACTGTTGTTTCAACTTTATTGCAGTTTCAACTACATGTAAATTATTATTACTTAGCAGTATGTCCTTTTTTCCTACAAATAAGTTATGTTATGCGGACAGCTCAGTGTTACCAGTCTTGCATGTGTAAATAGTTTCCAACACACGCGTTTAAATCCGATATATCGGCCGATATTATCTTATTGTAGAGATATATGTATGGATGTATAACTTGGCTGATTAGTAACATTACATTATTCTATTGAAATGGTAAGCTATGTTTGAGTTAATTTAGAAAAACTGTCACAATTACTGTCCACCAAAAAACTAATCTAAAGAATTTGCATCAAGATGGTTAATGTTTAAAAAAACTGCTGTAATAGAAGTTGGTAATATGGATAGTGTCAAATGTGTATAAAAATGAGGTGTCTCTAGATCTCAATTACCGAATAATAACTCAAGTTCCACCTCATTTAAGGCCTGAAGGGTGTCCTAGTGGAACCACCACCAACATCTTTTTGTCTCATTTGTGTTGTTTTTAGGCAGCTTTCTCTGTTTTGAAAAGTTTGAAATAATATCCTGCGGTGACGTTGTGCCTAAAGGCAGCCGGGCGGGAGGGATTCTTATGAAGGACGCATGGATTTTGTAGTTGCACTTTCACACTGGTGACAGCAGGGTGCTCTCTTATACCTCACTCCTGCATCTTTTAATGCTGTCCAGATCTGTTCTTACCTACTAACTGCTGCCTGGCTTGTAAATCAAATTTCTCGAACATCAGAGCAGAATGTGTGAATGTCATCTCAGCAATGTCCTGTCTTTATCCAGCTGGTGATTAGATTTTGTTGCCTCTGCGGCACACATGTCCAAATTAGACAGTTGGGCTGGTAAATGTGATCCCCATCCTCTGACGTTGGTTCATTTCATCTTCATTAGCCTTGGCGTTGCCAGGCAAACTTCTATTGCTGGGGAGGTATGAGAGTCAGATGGTTTTATTTCGTGTAGTTTGATCCCGGTTGTGCACCTGCCGAAGGTTGTTTATTTGTGTGAATATGACTTTATTACACAATTAGGGGACTATTTTTCTTTTAGATGAACACTCTCCTTTAAATGGTGAATAAATGTGACTAAAATCTTCAGGGGGTTATTCCTGCCTTCAGGGAATCTTTCTTCCAAGGAATTTGGTTTGTGCTTTAGCAGAAAAGTCCAATTCACTTTAAAACAGTGTATGATGTCTCTCGGTTTTTTGTTTTTCCAGTGCCCTTTTCATCCACGTTGTACCTTCCTGAATGTTTCATCAATCTCTGAGTCTCTTCTGTGTGTGCATCGGCTGAGGTCAGGCTGACTTTTAATGTAGGTACAAAGGCAAGACCCCCCTCTGAGGGGACAGGGGTCTGCCTTTTGAGTCTGTGGAGTATGAGGACTTGAGGCCCCCCAGCTCCAAACACACTCGGTTTCATTTCATCTACTGAAGACTGATGTTACTGATGTGAGAGGGGAACACATCGGATAAGATTGTGCTAAACCACAGGGCTATTGAAATAATGGCGCCACATTAAATTGATTGTGTGAAGGCGTCGAGCATGGATAGTGGAGAAGATAGATGACTATTTTACCAATACACTGTTAGCTACATGCGTAAGATTTAATATAAAGGTACATTTAAAGTGGAATTCTCAGTTTTTGAGGGCTGTGCTACTTTCTTTTTTCTCCTGAAGGTGTTCACTGCACGCATGGCTTCAACCGGACAGGCTTTCTGATATGTGCATACCTGGTGGAAAAGATGGACTGGAGGTAAGGGCTGATCTCCCTTCATTCGCTCATACTGCCGGAGTGCAGTTCACAATCTCCACAATCGTCTTGCATGACAACACAAACCATACAACCTAAGTGGCTTGCATCATCGCTCTGGTTTCAAACTCTCCCACCCCTGTCAGTCTTTTTTAGCTGATAATGCCATCTTCTCCTGATAGTTTTCTGTATGTGTGTTACACTGTCAGTACCAATCAACTCAGGCTGCACAAAAGAAGCTGGCTGGTTGGCAGTGACCGAGCTAGTCACCCCAAAACAGAGGTGTTTAATAATTTACAAGAGCTCAGCGGAGGAGGGGGGGCTGAGGATGTGTCTTTAGTTGGAGGGGGAGCAGCAGTCTGAGAAAGCAGAATCCCTGGAAGCTGTAGACATGAAGGCTGAATAAAACCCTCCCACCACCCACTACTTCCTGTGTAATGAATACTCTGAGAGCATTTACAGCCCTCGTCCAGTTTCATGTGTTTACTATCAAGTGATAAACACTGCTAAATGTGTTTTGGGGTTTTGGGTTTTTTTTTTTTTTATTCCTGAAAAATATATGATGTGAATTATGATTAAGGCTGCAACTAAAGATTATCTTTATTATAGAATAATCTGCTAGTTATATTTATGCTCAATAGTTTTAATCTATAAAATGTCATAAAATAGGGAAAATTGCCAATCGCTATTTCCTAGAGTCTTTAAGTATGTTGTTTCATCTAATCCAAAACGTGAAAAATTGTATTTAGAGCTGAAACAATTAAATAATCTTAAATGAGGTCAGATGTGGAAAAGCTGCAAATTCTCACATTTCAGACCTTGAAATTATGTTTTTTGTTGTTTGATGAATCAAAAAAATTGTTGTAGCTCTAGGTTTGATAAACAGACCACATTAGAAACGCAGTAAGGACAGAACATCATATGTACCCGTACGTAAAAAGAAGCTTTTTAAAAGATGCCCCGTCTGTTTTCTGTCTCTTATCAGCGTCGAGGCAGCAGTGGCTGCTTTCGGCCAGGCCCGGGCCCCAGGGATCTACAAGGGAGACTACCTCAAAGAGCTTTTCCGTCGGTATGGTGAGGAGGAGGACGCACCCCCTGCCCCCGCGCTGCCCGAGTGGTGCTTCGACGACGACGATGGGGAAGTGGACGACGACGGTAATGCGGTTGGCCAAGAGTCGGGCCCCAGCTCCTCCGGGTCAGCGCCTGGCAAACGAAAGAAAGAGAAGCTAAAACTGGTAAGACTTCCGGGGAGCTTAGGGAAATGGACTGTTAAGTAGAAAATCTGTTGGTCCCCCCTCTGCATGACACGGAGCTCATGCAGGGTGATGTAGGGCCTACAGGGAGGCTTCCCGCTTATGTTCAACTATACATAATAATCCAGTCAAAATTGATGTTTAAATTTAGAGAACGCTTTCCATCTCTGGCAAAGGTATAATTTAGATCAGATAAAACTGCCTCCCTGTCTTTATGTAAAGCTCTCATCAGTGCAATCTGGTAAAATTAGAAGTGTTGAATCATCTCCAGTTGCGTGTAATTAGGTTTTCTTCTGTTTACATTGAGCTGATCCCCTCATCCAGGCTAATTTTGAGTAGTTTAAGAAGCTTAAATTAAAACGGTATCACCAACATTTCAAGCAGTCAGTGTAGAGGTGAAGACAAAAGCAACAGTGTTTGAACAGTAGAAAGTAAATCATATTCATCATGTTTATATCCAAATACAAACAGTTAATATTTATTTTCCAGTATTATTGCACAGAGCTTACTGAAAACCACAATCCAGGCAAATCAAAAAGTTGAGTTATACAGTAGACAGGTCTAGAGGGAATAAGCCAGAGCAGCAGCAGCTCCTCCAGGCTGCATTACTTCACTTTCATTAAGGAATACTGTCTCTTGGTTGAGTGGTCTGCTTCGGAGGTCTGACCTGTTTTGGCTGCCATGAAGAGAACCATCATGAAGTCTGTTCAAAAGTAGAAATAAGGTAGCACACCATCAAAGCAAACAATGCCCATATAGCTTCAGGTTTTTTTAAAATATAATTGTTGATGCGCTTCCTCAGAGTCATAATATCTGCTCTGAACGAACACTTTACAGTTTGGATGTGAAAATTACAAACACGACTCTGCTATTTTGGATAGTTCATATCAGGATTATTCAGTGATTGGGTTCCTGGAAGTGGTGGCTACAGTTTCTGTTTGGAAAGTTTTCCCATCTTGCTGTGTTGGAAGGGAAGTCAAAAGAATCAGGTTTCTATCTCTGGTGGACTCTGCTGCAATATGTTCGAACCATTTCAACTTTTCGTTTCTCAGGATAGTGTGTTTTATCTGAACAACAGGCCGATCGGATATGACACAGAAAAGCTGGAACTAGTGAATAACTGAAATATTAACTTACAACTATAACCCAAAAGAAGAGTAAGATGTAATTTAAGCACAATTTTAAAAGTAAGTAATTTCAGTTTTTGAGAGCACCATGTTAGCTGAGCTAGCAGCAGCTTTAGTCTTTTGAGTTGTAGGTCACCCAAGTTTTGGCAGTGCTCTGAATCATTCTGCACGTAAAACGTAAGAAAAATAGACTTGGAGTGTAGGAATATGCTATAGACCACATTCACATGCATATAGCACAAGTGTAGACAGTTGGACGGATTAAAATAAGACCATATCTGTTCCATCAGATGAATGATATGAGTTAGATGAAGGAAAAATTAGGCTGAAACACCTCCTGTGTAGAGACACTGTTAGACATCAAGAGTTTGGCCTCATCTAGAGCATAATAGTACACAGTTCATTGCTTTGAATATCAGTATTCATTGATTTCATTTGTCATCATAATATGTGCCAATATCAGAAAATATCTTTATAAATATTGTGATACTTGTTTTATCCACATCACCTGACCCTTTCCAGCTGCTGTTGAATATGGCCATACCCTATGTCTATGCGTATTTACTGGTGGTGTTGATTGATTCAGGTCCAACTCTGGACATTTTAGTGCAACGTATTTTTGCACATTTTGCTATAAAAATGCATAGTGACCGCCCTCTACTGGTTAAATTGAATTTTGCTATTGGCTGATCTGGAGGCAGGTCATGTATGTGGTGGCAGCTCTTGTCACCAAACAACTACTGCCTCTATAAAACCAATGTAAGGTAGCAGGATTTAGGGGATTAGTTACACTTTAAGTTCAAATGGTATTGTTCTCACCTGGTTGTACAAACAGGGGTTCATTTTGTGTTAATGTGTCCTGATTTTAAGGTGGATGGATGAGGTTAAGCAGCTGTTACATGCACATAACTCCTCCTCTAGATTGAAAAGTGAGAGAGAATGAGGTTCATCTGAACCATTGTGGGGCTTTCTATTCTCAGCCATTCATACACAAAACATATGCACTAATGGTACTTGGGTTGACGTATATTATCATGTCACATCTGTTTCTGTTCTAATTGGTATACATTATCATATTATACTCATCTGGGCAGAATTGGGGGGGGGGTCATGTTAAAAGAGAAATAAGGAGATTAGGAAATGAGGTGAATGAGCGAGAATTGTTCTTAGTTGAAAAAGGAGTGTTACAGATGTCATCAGTGTTACATGAAACCTGCATAAATGGGAGTGAGGGGGTGAGGAGTGAGACATCAGTAGAGTCTTGTCTCCTGGGAGTTGAATGGGAGAAACAGGGTTAATGTGGTAGATTTATAAAATATTTAAAGTGCGAATGGTTTTAAAAGTGAAGAGGTCAAGAGGAAAGCTGAATTTATACTATTTCTACCTGTTGTCTCGGCACACAGTGATTCATAAACCAAAGAAGCAGCTGTTTGGAAAGTATCAGCTGTATTTAAAATGTGTTTCTTTTATGTGTGGGAGTGTCTCTTTTTAAATCCAAGTTCAACCTTCTGTTTTCCTTTGTTTTCTTCCTCCCAGGGTGCAGTATTCCTTGAAGGCATCACAGTGAAAGGCGTCACACAGGTCACCACACAACCCAAACTAGGAGATATCCAAAGAAAGTGTCAGGAGATGGCCGAGTGGGACAAGTAAGAACCTCCCTTTACCCTCCCCCATACCTCTGGGGAAACTCTGTGTGTGTGTGTACACATATGTGGGTGTACTGTACTGTGTTGGTAGTGACTCATTTGTTGTAAATCACCTTTCTTTTAAAAATCTTGACACTCTCAGACAGACAGCCGAGTCAGGAATAGATTTTTCTGGAGAGATATGTTGCTGCAGCTCTACGGCTGGGTCTAGTCACAGTCCCCGCTAATATTTCCACTACCTGCTACCTGTTATTTTTTTGTTATACTGTATCCGTAAGTGCTTGTATACAGTTATGTTGACAATATTAAATTGAAGAACCAGTGACTAGAACTTAGTGGCATCTAGTTATGTAGTTGAAGGTAGCAACCCCCTCGTTTCACCCTCAGCTTCCAAGTATGGCCGTGAAACGTGTGAAAAAGACTCATTCTAAGCTAACAAAAACAATGATTCCTATTTTCAGGTGATTATATGCAAATGAAAACATGAATATTATATCTGCCAATAGAAGACAAAGTCTTAACACTATGTAAAACTCTTATTTATGGCTAGCTATAGGTTATATTTTAGGTTTAGACTTTAGCTGAAGTACATGTAGTGGTGAGGGTTAGACATGAAATAGATGAATACTAAAGATCAGAGTGGTTAGAGTTGGGTGATTAAATGAATGAAAATCAGCAAGTATCTTGTAAGTTTCTTACATGACAAGATGTGTGTGTTCATTGTTGTTGCAGGTCTGGTTTTCCTGGTGCTCAGCCTGTGTCCATGGACAGGCAAAACCTTCGTTTCCTGGAACAGAATCCATACAAAGTCAGCTGGAAAGCTGATGGCACACGGTAGGTCTATTGTTTTCTTTACAATAAATTGCTCCTTGTCCACTCAAGTCAATACAGGCATTGCTCTCTGTGTCTCTGAGTGGACCGATAGGCTTCTCTTCCTATTCATTAGGCCCCTTTTGAGAGTCAATATGTCCATCAGGGTTCTGTGTACTGGAGGTATTCATTTACCTCTTTGGATTGTTAGTGAAGAGTAAGAGGAATACTGACTAGTGGTTGACTGATAAGGGTTTTTAATGGCCAGTGCTGATATTTAGAGAGCAGGGCTGCTGGCCGACCTATAATGCCAATATCAAAACAAAGAAAAGTCTTGTATAGTTCTCTTCTATTCTATAGGAAATTCAGGCATATGTTTAGCTCAGGAGAGTACTAGTACAGGGCTCAAAACCAACTTTTTCACCACCTTCCCAAAAAGGAAAAGAACATCACTGACATGGCTGGCTAAAGATGTTTCTGAAGACATTTTTTATTTATCGACCTCGTGAGCACAAACATCAGCCAATGCCGATCACCTCAAAATGCCAAATAATCGTCCCAATTAATCGCCCGACTGTTCGGTCCATCACTAATACTGACATGACTTCTTTTTCAATTATAGAACTTTCATGTAGTTAATCAACCTGAGTGGTCATTGTATAGCAGTGGAGATGTGGAGGGTTTTTGTACTGATAGTCGCAGATTGTACTGGACTTTTTCTTTCCTGTCACATTTCTGGGAGAATTTGTTGTTTGCTCTTGTTGTATGGCTCTGCTGCCAAAAGCTGGTGTTGAGGGGTAAAAGGGATTTTAGTATTCCAGTAGTCTGCTGTGAAGCACTATGTCTCGCTGGTGCAAATGTGCTGGTGAATATTTAATGACTGCAGTCAATTTCAGAATTTTACATATCGGTGCTTTAATTTCCTGTAAGAATGAGACGAGCACAGAGTACCGATTTGGCTACCGACCAAAAATGCTGCAGATTTGTGTAATTGACTGCCATCATCATCTGGAAATGCTTGCAAGTGTTGTTTAAAAGTTTCGCTCTTTACTGTCTGTGGAAAGGAATACTGATCTCTTCCTCTCCTGCCTTGAGCACTTGTCCTTCACCCCATTTTCCCTTCAGCTACTTGAAGAGCAACAGAGGGACAGATACACACACACAATATGCTAGGTATGAGTCATCATTCAACTGCAGGATGGGTACGATGTTGAGAATATGATGAGTGAGTGAGTGAGAGAGAAAGAAAGAAAGAAAGCTCTGCTCTACTCAATCAATCATAAAGGCATTAAACAAATACTTAAGTTCCATAAATGAACAAAGCTACCAATTTCAAAACAAGAAATACATGAAAATAATAATTATCTTTATTAATTTCTTTAATTATTTCTATGTGGAGAATCTGTTGATAGACAGACAACATAAGCCATCTGGTCAAGTTGCAACAATTAATCAATGTGTCCAACTACCAAGAAAATAGTCCCCAAATACAGTATTTACTCCTGTTTGAGAAACTTTTGCTGAGAAGTCCTGAATAGTTTTTCTAAGCTAAAATAATCTAAGCTTCTGGTTGTACAACAGCGAGTTGGCTTGTTGTCTCATATGAGCTCTGTGACACAACCAGGCCCACCCACCAGAATAATTTAGAGTTTAGTCTCACCAGAACATATTGTGCTTGAGTCTAATTGAGAGAGACTAATTTATTTATCCTAAGTGTAATTCAATCTCTGTGTGTGTGTGTGTGTGTGTGTGTGTGTGTGTGTGTGTGTGTCTTTTACATTAGAGATCTTGATGCGTTCTTCGACCCACTCTTTCTTGAGAACTTGAAGCTCTACAGGTGCAGTCAGATTTTAATGAAACGTCACTGCATTTAATTATAAATTAACATTCATAATGTCAGTGCTTTCCTAATACATATAACCCTTCCTGGTAGTCAGTTTTCTTTTTTACAACTCAAACCATATAAAAGGGGAAACTTGGAGATAAGCTGTGCAGTAAAACTTCTTCGTATAAACTACAGTGATGTATAACAGCATGGAAAGTGTTGGCGTAATGTTTGGACTCTCAAAACATATGCATTAATCTATTTCTTGGAGCTGTGAAATAACACAGCGTCCTATCTTATCGGTAAAAACATGTGTCTCCTAACTACTTCATTGAATGTCTGGAAGTTCTTAAAGTTTGTTGACACTCCAGAAACTGGAACACAGAAAGAAGGAGTTGCTATTCATTTCCTACCATGTGTAAACTGCCTCAGAATCTCAACTTCAGCGTATTTACATGGCAAAATTTGATTTGGTAGAGAATAAGCTTTGATGATTTTCTTTATGCTTTGTCAGTGTGGTGCCAGTCTCCCGTTGGTGTTTCTGTCTGGCTTCTTTCTGCTTTACGCCGACAGCAGTATTGTTTTTTTATCAGTGTTTTTTTGAAATTGACACACAGGCTATACAGTGTGTCTGACAAAAGGTATAGGAATGTGCAAAAAGGAGGGATTCAGTGTTGTTTTGTGGATATTCACACAATTGTAGCCCTGCTGTGGTCTGCATGCAGGTAATAAGGTTGTGCTCCTATTTGTGGAAAGCTTACACTCATAGGCACATGTTGAAAGTGAAAGTAGTCTTTATTGTGTCTCTGAGGGACAGCTCGTTCTCGCTTGCTGTTGGTCTGATATTACTTTATACTACTGAACTGAAAAATAGATGCCAGCTTTTTTTTTTTTTTTTTTTTTTAAAGCGTGCCTCGCCTGAACCACTGATGTTTAATTTATCCATCAAAATAGCCACATCTTTCGTTCAAGTTTGGCTTTTGTGTGAAATTGAATTCCCACAAAAGAAGTGATAATGAGAGATGGCTTTGTAAGAAAGAAAGTAAAAGAAATCAATCAGATTCTTTTTATGATTAGAATTCTACAGGTGTGGGTTTTCATTAAATCTGGACAATGTCTCATATTGATGGACAACACTCCTCGGGGGTCCGTGGATATAAACAAACACTTTATAAAAGTAGATTAATTCCACCTTTAAGCGCCATTTCTTCAGTCTCTATTGATCCTAAAATCTCTCTGATGATAGTATGAAATCTGAAAAAATTAGCCGTAACATGTCGAGGACTTGCAAAGATAAATGAGTTTTGAGGTTTTGTACATTTCCAGTGAGATTTACTGTTTGCAGTGGTGCAGTGTGATCTTAATTTGTCATTCTTGCCATGCATTGCATAGAGTGTGCCGAGAATTTCTTATTAAATGTCCTATTTTCTAGCCAGTGGCAGTTTTAAGACCTGAAATGGATTTTTAATAGCAAATCTGTCTCTTCAAGGTGGTCTGGAAAGATTTTTTTCTCCCTGCGCGTTGCCAGAGGTTCTCATTTAAGTATTTCATATTCTAAATCCCTCCAGCTTTCGTTTGTTACACGGGTGTAGATAAGAAAGTTTCCCATTCTAATGCAAGTCATTTTTACTTTTAAAGTGAGTAATTTCCTTCTTTTATTTAGCACAAAAGCATAGTTTTTGTTTAATTTTAACACCTAATGCTCTGACAGACTTCCTCTTAGTCCCACATGAATGGTTCCCCCGCATTACTGCAGCCTCTTTCTGTGGCCACTGGGCAGTGCATCAACATTTCTGACAGTTAAACTGCCTTGCTCAGTAGCACAATAACAGACAATATGGTGACAAAGTACTCACCCAACCCCGCTTGACTAAAAATATTATGCAGCCCTCCCTGACGCACATACCAGTCATACAGTGAAAAAAAACTGTCACTGCCTGCTATCTGCCAAGGAGGTGGCTTCTAATGGGCTTTGGAAAGGACAGCAGAATCAGTGGATTTGCCAAGAGGGGAAACATAGGCCGAGTTTGGTTTTTAATCATCTTGTTGTAGAGCCTTCTGTCAGGGCTAGATTGGTCTGTGCCCCTGAGAGGAAGAGGAGGAGGGAGAGGGCCCAATTATGTCCTTGGGACTTTAAACAAACAATGCTGCTCAACTTGGACTTTATTAGAGAAATTGGACTTGAGAAAGACTTTGGCTTTCTTAATTTTCCACTCCAAGTCTTCTATCCACAACTACTACTTCAGTCAGTCATTTAGAATGAGGCATCAATAATCCAATGTCTGAGTTTAACATAGCTTTTTTTAGTTTGTTGGCTGGTATTTTCAGAGCACTATTGGTGGTGTTTTACGATGTCTGTTGGTTATTAAATTAATTTATGTCTACGACCTTGCTTAGTGAGGGGCTTGTACACCAGATTGCACCAAAACTCTGGTTGATTTAAGATTTTGTTATTGTTTGGTAATTATCCTGCTTATTTGCAGTTTGTTTTGTCTTACTTTGTGATTGCTCATTAGAATAAATGTAATTTGTTCCAGCATGAAGTAATCTCGGTTGACACTGAGTAGCCCGGTATGGGATCCATTCCATTGAGAAGGAGCTCCTTATTAGAGGTGGGGAAGTTGCGTTTACCAAAGCAACATTACAAATGTGAGATTTATGTTTGTTTTTTATCTGAACTGTTTGCTTTGTTTTTTTTCTTTAAGACTTCAACATTGACTAACTGGTTGGTTTGGCAGATGCTCGCCTGGTTAACCCTCTCAGCTCTGATGAAGTGCACTGGCACTCCCTTAAGCTTTTCTAGAGGAAATGTCAGAACAGCACCACATCGAACAGAGCAATATAGTGTGTGCCATATGGAAAATTGATCTTTTACTCTTAACTCTGAAAATGAGAAACCAACATGGTCTTTCTGGGTAGAAGTCCTGTCTGTTGATGCACCACTAATGATGTGCAAAGCTGCTGGATCTGATCTAAGACCTCCCCTGGAGCTCAGCTGCTCTCAGTCATGCCGCAGGGACTAGACTGGCAAAGCCCACACAATGGCCGTCTGTGCCTCATTAGGGCTAAAGTGCTCGGAGGACCGGAGCTCAGGGATAAGGCTAAAATCTGAGACTCACAGCACCCATCAGAGGACAGGAGCGGAAAGGAGAGAACAGGCGGGGATAGGACACACACTCTTGTGAACAAGGGAGCGCAT